ACTCGCTGCTCATCGAAACCTACATACGCGACTCCCAGGAGCGCAACTTCCTGTTCCACGCCATCGACAACATCCCCTGCATCCGCAAGAAGGCCGACTGGGCCCTACGCTGGATCGATAACCGCGATGCCAAGTTTGGCGTGCGTCTGGTGGCATTCGCTGCCGTCGAAGGTATCTTCTTCTCAGGCTCCTTTGCCTCGATCTTCTGGCTCAAGAAGCGCGGCCTCATGCCCGGCCTGACCTTCTCCAACGAGCTCATTTGCCGTGACGAGGGCCTGCATACCGACTTTGCCTGCCTGCTGTTCCAGCACCTGCAGAACCCGCCGTCCGCCGAGCTGGTCCTGCAGATCATCGTCGAGGCTGTTACCATCGAGCAGGAGTTCCTGTCAGAGGCGCTGCCTGTTTCACTCATTGGCATGAACGCCAAGCTGATGTGCCAGTACATCGAGTTTGTCGCTGATCGTCTGCTGGTTGCCCTCGGCCAGCCCAAGAAGTACCTTTCGACCAACCCCTTTGACTTTATGGACATGATCTCCATGCAGGGTAAGACTAACTTCTTTGAGAAGCGCGTCTCCGACTACCAGAAGGCCGGCGTCATGATGGGCAGCCAGGGCAACGCCCGCGAGACTGTTTTTGACCTCGATGAGGACTTTTAAGCGCGCGATGCCTGCGAAGCCGCCTCTTGCGCGTTGACTCTGTGCCCATGTCCACCCTTTTATTTTTACCACTTCGTTTTCTTTTTCCTTTCTATTTTAAAAATATGTATAATTTTTCTAGCCAAAAACACATCCCTTCTCCGCCAGTCGCGCTGGACGCAATCATATTGTACAGCGTAAGCATACGCGCGTCGGTTTATATCCCGCGTCTCCAGGACGCAATCAAAACAAAACAAAACAAGACAATGCAAAACAAAATAAATCTGAAAATATAAAGCACTACACAAAGAAGACAAAAGCTGGGTCCGGGTCACCCTTCACGTGCCTACTTTTTAAGCTTGAAGTACAGGACGACGGCGATGATGACAAGGATGATGATGACAATGAAGAGGATCCACCACTTGAGCTTGCGGCTGCTCTTCGTATGCACAATGGCCTGCTTGGTCTCCACGTTGCCCTTGTCTATGTTTACGTGCGCATCCTCGACTGCAGCCTCGATGTTATCAAACTTTTGCTGCTGCTGGTTGACCATCTCGTTGACCTCGACAAACATCTCGGCGAGCTGGCTGATTGACTGCTCGATGTTTCTGATCTGCTGCCGGCGGGACTCAACGTCCTTGAGGACCTCCCTCGCCTTGTTTGCCCGGTTAGTGTTGATGACCGCCTGGGAGAAAACTTGATTGGCGTTTTCGTTGTCCACAGCGTCTCTGACCTCTTCCTCTGTCGCATCCGGCCGGACAATCTTGTACTGTCTCTCGAGCTGGACGCGCTGGCGCTTTGACGAGTCGTATTCCATCTGGCGATACCGCGATATCTGGTCTGCAAAGCGCTTGGTCAGCGCCTGCTGACGGCTGGAGCGCGCGACAGCCTGACTACTTGACACAGAGGGGTCGTCCCTTGCGCGCTGGATAACAACGTCTAGGCTGCTTAGGCATTGCTTGATGTCAACAACCATGCGCTTCGCCTCCTTCTCCTCGCGCTGGAGCCTCTCTGTCTGTTCCATGTGCTGAGTGCTGCCGCCGACCATGGAAAGAAGTCCATTCTGTAGGCCGGAGATGTCCTTTATTATGTTGTCCAGGTCGGCCATTTGGCCTGTAATGCTGTCCACCATGTTGAAGAAATCGTCGTCTGGGCTGCTGCTGGTAGAGGTGTTGTTGTAGCCCCTCTGGTCATACCCCTGGTCGTATCCCTGGCCATAGCCCTGATTGTTTGCCCTGCGCGGGCTGCTTGTGCTTCTGCCTCTACCGCCTTTGTATCTGCCGTTATCACCGCCTGCGGATCTGTTAAGCTGATTCATTGGGATGGCGGTGTGGTCCTCGTCCGGCTGCTCTTGCCACTTTTGGTCACCGCTCCAGCCTTCGTTCTACACAAGTACAAAAATAGCCATTCTAAATTTAGCAATACAATGCAGTTTTAAAATCAAGCAAGTAGTAGTACGTTTACCATGCGCGCATAGTCGAACCATGCTTCTGGCCAAAATGGTTGAGGCAAAGCAAGGTAGGGCGAGCTATGCTGAAAAGGGGTGCATTCAAAGGGCTATTTGCGCCAAAAAACCCCCCGACGACGCAGACTGGCAGCCTGCTGGCACAGTTGCTTCGCGTAGACATGGACATGGACATGAAATTGTGTGTTCAAGTTTGTGTGTGTGTGTGTATGCTTTTGCTGGCTGCTATACGTACTCCCAGGGCGTTTAGTCTGTCACGAGCCATTTTAAACTAAATTTTCCTCTATGTCGTTGTGCTCCTAGATGAACTGAATAGTGCTATAAATTCAATTAAAATGCTACACGCTGTAAAGTATATAAAAATAAGAATTCACACGAAATAAGAAAGAAAAATTGGTGGTAAAAAACCCCACCCAGGCTCAGCACAATCCCAGCGATGCATGCATTTTAGAAAGACGGCTGACTTTATTTTTTGCGTCAAAGCGCTAAAAAAAGAGGTAAATGAAATTTTACAATGTCTCCCATCAATGTATTCTGCTCCTTCTTCTTGGTTACTTCCTTGGTTTTTTCCAGCAGTATTGTAGACCCCCAATGCGGTTTATGTGTACACGGAGCGTGAGGACAATTAGATGACTTTGTTATATTTACGAAAAATAAATGAAATAGTATAAGAAACGGACTGGAACTAAATGCCAACACTTGGAATTGGCAGCAGGGAAAACAGTAGTGGCAGTGACAGCAAAACACAGTCTACTTTTTAATTACGGTAAAGTAGACGATGATAATGATGATGACGATGATGATGATGGCGAGGAGGAGCAGTATCCACATCTTCTTGCGCGCCTTGATGCGGTACACGATAGCCTTCTTTGTCTCGACGTTTCCCATCTCGACGTTACCATGCGTTTCCTCGACGGCCTCCTCGACACTGTCGATCATGTCTTGCTGGCGGTTGACCATCTCGTTGACCTCGACAAACATCTCAGCTAGTTGGCTAATCGTCGCCTCAATCTTCTTCATATCGTCCTGACGCTCCTCGACATCACGCAAAACTCGGCGAGCCTCGCCTATGCGGCTGGTATGCATAACGGACTGCGCAAATACCTGCCCGGCCTGATCACTATTGATAGCATCGGAAATTTCCGTGTCGGTTGCCTCGGGCCGCGCAATACGGTATTGCCGCTCGAGGCGGTCGCGATTGCGCTGCGCGTATTGGTGCTCCATCTGGCGATACCGCTGCAGCTGCTCGGAAAACTTCCGCGCCAATGTCTGCTGGCGCGTTGCCTGGGCCACGCGCTGGCTCTTCGGGATGTTTGGGTCGTCAACTGTGCGCGCCAAAACGACAAGGCTCTGCTTGATTCCCGCGATCATCTCATTTGTCTCTGCAACGAGATAGTCGCGCTCAATTGCAATTTGGCGGTACTTGGTGTCGCTGGTTGCCGACAGGGCCTGCTCGTGGAAGCCGGAGATGCGGTCAATATTCTTGTCGACATCCGCCATCTGCTTCGTTGCCGTGTCTAGCATGTAAAAGAACTGGCCGTCAGAATGGTTGGTATTGGCGCCGGTGCCGTTATTGTAGCCTGTGTCGAGTGGGCCCAGCTCAATAGCTGTATCCTCGCGGTCGTTGTCCCCCTACGTTTCAAAGGCATCGGTTGGCATGAAGGAGATAGCAAGAAGCCAGTGGGCGGCTTTGGGCGAGTTTAGTAGTGTGCATTGGCAGCGGCAATCAACCAGCCGCCTGATATAGAAGCTGGACGCTTTGTACAAGAAAATGACTGTCGTTCATTTTTCTGTTGTTTATGCTGTGAGTGCCCATTAAACACGAAGAAGGGCGTCAGTGGAAAGCGCTGTCGCCACGTCCAGTAGTCCCAGCCTGCACCGCCAATGTGTGCAGTAGGAGGGGGCTAGCAGCAGCAGCATCATTATTAAAAACATGGAAATAACTCGCCAAACGGCTGTATGGTACAACCCGAGTGTAAAGTAGAAGCGTACTAACCTGGAGGTCGTTGAACCTGTCGCGACCCATTTTGCTGTCAATACCGTATGTGTATTTGTGTGTTTATGTGTATACGCGTGTGTGCGCGCGGTTTAGTGCTTCTTGTTTTAAAGAAGACTGTTGGCGGTAATGCTTTGCGTTGTGGCCGAGAGAAATTGCGAAAAAAAGAGGGCTGTTGCACAATTGCAAAATAGAGTAAAAAATTAAAAATAGAAAAGGAAAATTACGTTTATTGAGCCCAAAAGTGGAGGGAGACAACAATTGGGTTGGAAATACAAGTTTGGAATTTAGGTTTATTTTGTTTGTGTGGCTGTTTCTCTTCTGTGTGTCTCCTCCCACTTGCTCCCTATGTCCCCCAACCCATTCTGAGCACTTGATATTATCAAAGCGGGGAGGTTTCATGTCACAAAAAAAGCACGAGAGCGAGTGCCCAGATCCAAACTTATTTCACTGTATCACCCAATGCCCTGTTCCCTGTCTTCTGTTATACGGAAACTTGGCAGTCGGCCATGTGCCTCGCCACTATTCTCAAACAGACAGGCAGAAAATATACAATTCTACCTTTGCCGTGGTGTAGCGGTCTTGGTGCTGAGTAACTTTGACAACAGAAGATCCTTTTGTCATGGCAAAATCGAACAACCAAATCCATCCAAGCACAAAAAGCCGAGACACGAGCCGAGCTTCATCCGCGGCGGCTCGCAACAGCTCACATTGCCAACGCAAAAATAGGCGCGAAAAACACATTGCTGGCCCGGACGCCCCCAACCCTGGATTGCAAGTGCGCCCTGTCCTGGCCTTGCAAGCGCGTGCGTGCTTTAAGCGCGAAATGATGAGCTGCATGGTCAGAACAGCTCGAAATAATAGGGGCAGGAGCAGAGGCCAAATAGGTAAAATGTAATTATGATTTTCCTCAAAGTGACGAGGACCAGCATATAAAATCCCCACACCCTGCCCAATCATCCTGCTCGGACCGATTCTTCTCTTCTTTTCTTTTCACTCTGCGTTATCTTTTTACCCTTTTATTTTCAACTGAAAATTTAGCTTTAGCAATGGCATTCACCACCCGCGTTGTTGGCCAGCCCGACACCCTCGAGTACCGTGTCTTCATCGAGAAGGACGGCAAGCCTGTCTCGCCCTTCCACGACATTCCTCTTTTCGCCGATGAGGCCAACCGCATTTTCAACATGGTCGTCGAGATTCCTCGCTGGACCAATGCCAAGATGGAGGTATGTTTAAATTTGCTTGCAATTGTCCAACCAACCAACCAACTAACTGGAAGCTGCAGTTACAACCCGCCGCCATTTATAGTGTTTGTTATCGCCTCTACTACCATTACTAATATAGGCGTTGTTGTGGTTTTCATTTGTTTGTGCCTTGGTATATGTATAGATCAGCAAGGAGGATGCGCTGAACCCCATCAAGCAGGACATCAAGAAGGGCAAGCTGAGATACGTGCGCAACGCCTTCCCCCACCACGGCTACATCTGGAACTACGGCGCTTTCCCCCAGACCTGGGAGGACCCCAACCAGACCAACAGCGACACCAAGTGCATTGGCGATAACGACCCCGTCGATGTCTGCGAGATTGGTGAGGCCATCGGCTACATCGGCCAGGTCAAGCAGGTGAAGATCCTGGGCGTCATGGCTCTGATTGACGAGGGCGAGACCGACTGGAAGGTCTTGGCCATCGACGTCAATGACCCCCTGGCCTCCAAGATGAACGATGTCGAGGACATCGAGCGCTACATGCCCGGCCTTCTGCACGCCACCAACGAGTGGTTCCGCATCTACAAGATCCCCGATGGCAAGCCTGAGAACCAGTTTGCATTTGGCGGCGAGGCTAAGCCCAAGGCTTATGCCAACGAGGTTGTCAAGGAGACCGCCGAGGCCTGGGCCGATCTTATCAGCGGCAAAACCAATAGCGGAAAGATCGCTCTTGCCAACACCCTTCTCGCCAACTCGAGCACTATCTCCGAGACCAACGCTGAGGAGATTGTCGCCAGCGGCATTAGAAAGGATGCCCCGGTTATTGACCAGACTCTGCACAAGTGGTTCTTCATCTCGGGATCCAAGATCTAAGGTGGGCCGTATAGTCCACACACAAATGCTAAATTTAGCATGTTTATTTTTTATTTTTTCTTTCAAACACAACACCCTGCTGCTATCTATGATAATATTGTTGGTGTGGGGGCCTTTCTTTGGCCACATAGAAATCGGCGAAGGCCAATGTCAAAGAACAATACGCTGCCAGTATTGCACATGGAGATTCCAGGGACCATGTGCGAATAGATATTAATTTTTAAAAAATAAAATTGAGGTATTATTTGTACTGTTTAAAGCAAAACATCAGCATTTTATTCAATGTTGGAATTAAACTCTCAGCTTGTTGATACTGAACCACTGCAAAACATCTATATGCTGCGGTATCAGCAAATACCTTAACAATATATTGACTCGAATACAAAACAATCGATTTCCTTTTTCCTTCACTAATCACAGCAAACAACACGGTACGGTGGAACCACTTGTCACTCAATGGAAGCGAGAATGTCGCCCGACGGTCGCAAGACCAACGAGCCCACTTTCCTCTATGCGCAAGGCCAGCGCCGATCTCACAACAGCTCCATCCGGCAGCACTCTTCAACAAGCGATGAGATCGCCATTACTTGCTGTACCCAAGACCCAACACCAAGGCCTGCCAGAATTTTACGCAGCGATGAATACCCGTATCCAACCGCGCCAGACATTGCTGCCGTGGGCGTTCCGGGCAACAGCAGATTTGACAACTGTGATAATAGTGGGAATGGTGGTAGCTGCTGTGACTATGATCGCGTCAAAGACAAACACATGCCAAACATAATGGGCGGATTTCGTACAAGGCTATGTCGCACGGTTTGCAATTGGGCTGCTGCAAAATTTCGACCAGCAGCAGCAAAAAGGGGTCACTCAAACATTCAGGCACGCAGCTGCCTTTGCCTGGTTGGAAAAAGACTTGTGTCGATGGCAGTCCTGTTTGCTGTACTAGCCATTCTCATGATACCAATGTACAAGTCTGACAGAGAAGACATGTACAACTTTGGGACAATGTCCTTTGACTGGCAGACCAACCCGCGCGACCACCTGGTGCCATTTGACCCATCCTACACGGACTACAATGTGCTTTTGGATGGGCACACTCATACTACCATTTCCGATGGACGGCTCACGCCCGAGCAGCTGGTCGACTACTCCATTGCTCAGGGCTGCAATGCTATCATTGTCAGCGATCACAATACAGTAAAGGGCGGGCTGCGGGCAGAGGAGTATGCCAAAAGCAAGTACGCTGACAAGATTGTGGTGATCCCGGGCATGGAGTACTCTAATTGCCGCATACATATGAACTTTATCAACATCAACACTACAGTGATCGCTGGCAACTCTGAATTCCCCAGCGACGATGACATCAGGCTTGCAATTAGCCGGGTGCATGAGCTTGGGGGCCTTGTCATAGTCAACCACATCCCTTGGTCCAACCGCACACTCAACCGCCTCAAAGCCCCACGTCTGCTTAACCACCCTAGCATTCAGTCTCTTATTGAATGGGGCGTTGACGGGTTCGAAGTCATCAATCAGGAAACGTTCGACATGCCGACATATCAGCACATGCTGGCCCTCAATTCGACAGCTACTCGCCGGACAACTGGTACCTCAGCGCCGCTAATCTTTATGACCGGAAGCGATGTGCACAAGCCGACTAGTGCGTACTCGTGGACAGTGCTTCGGGCACGCTTATTCACTAAAGATGCAATAATGGAGGAAATTGCCAATGCGCGCACTTCGTTTTTGTTCGATCCGGCCGGCAACCGGGCAAACATTGTACCAGACTATTCCACGCTGTACTTGGCGCTGTCTCCGTTGTCTGAGCTGGCAGAGTACTTTGAATCGTTCTATGACCGCTATCAGGGCCAGTACTCGTTCCACGGCAGCCACTGCCAGCGCGACATAGTCGACTTTCACAAACTATCGATCGTTTGTTTTGTCGCGTACTTTGTGTTGGGGGCGGTGATATTTGAGATTATACACCGGCTGCTTGGTTACATTGTGCGCCGTGCTCACAACGCGTACAGCGCGCACAACATGGCTAACACGCACACATCGGACACTTTGGAATGAACCGTACAAAAATATTATTGTTTTTATTAAAATGATCAAGCCCGGAATATGCATTGGGCGCAGCACGCGCAATGTGAACACACGCTAGAACTGTACACGGTGTGGGTTTACATAAATGTCACCAAGAGGAAGACGAACGCTAAAATAATCATAAATATTTTGGCCATCAGCCAGCGATTAGACGAGATGGTGGAGTAGTATCTAAGAAGCTCGTTTTGCGCCGCACTAATGTTCATGTCTACGCTCTCAACGTTGGCATCAATGCGCTGGACCACATCCCGTTGCTCGGAAACCATGTGCGCAAGCTGCTGGAATATAGATCCTAGCTCCGAGATGGTCGACTCTATTGAATTGATCGCATCAGATCGACTGTCAGATACGACGACTGGCTGGGCTGCATTAGCATCAGCTGCGAGCTCGATGCCTCGTCCATCTCTGGCAGTGATAACGCAACAAAGTCTTCGCCGCTGTTACTCCTGCCTGCTCCACCGGGGTACGCGCCGTTCGTGTAAACCGGGACTTTGCGCTCTGTTTGGTACAAGGGCGAATCTACATTGTCGATCGAATTGTCATTTTGGCGGCGGTTGCGAACGCCTACCCACAAAATGTACGGACGTAAATATGGTGCGAGTTAGCATACTGAGAATGTATAGAATAACAAAATGGCGTTAGCGACACCGTGTGTGCGCGCAATAAGCATGCAATTGAAAATTTAAAACATTACCTGTAGAAGAAAACGCCATGTTTCCGGCAGCTGCGGCAGCTGTGCCAATGAATTGGTCTTTGCGGTTTCCAGAAGCCTTGAGGCTCTCACTGCGCAGCTCCAGCACGTCTTTAAATACTGTCGATGTGCCCGCAAGTTGCGACTGCAGGGACACGACAATGTTGGAGTGATGTTCGGACACCTGCTGTCCGTCGCCACCTTGCCTGCGCTGCAGCGACTGTAGCGACATAATCTTGCCATTGAGAGTGGCAATCCTCTGTTTTACTTGGTTTGTTAACGCCTAAAAGGCACAATATGAACAACAATGTGTGTTAGTCACATAGTTTGAGGAGAGCAGCTGGACAAAGCCGGCATTTGCATTGTGTTGAAAAACTTACATTAATCTCGCTAGTCTTGTCGTCGAATATTGTCTTCCCCCTCGCCACTACAAAGCTTGTATAAGCACAGTATTATCGCATATGGTTTAGCATACCAGTCAAGCACACATACCAATGCATAAGGGCTGCAAAAAAGTTCGCCAAACAAAGGAATTCACTTACAGTTTGCCAGGTTTTCCAGAAGCAGTGTCGTGTCCTGGATGTCCTTTCCGATGGCGCCGGCGTGTCGTGAGAATTCGCTGTATTCTGTGTTGGCCAGCGACTTGCCCTTGGTAGGCTCAGGTGCAGGCGGTGTGGCTTGCTGGCGCTTGCGCAGTGCGGCGGTAAGAGATCTGTACTCGTTTGTCCTATCCCGCAAGGTTTTCGCTTTGGCAACGACCATTTTAAAAGTAAATTCGCGAATGACGTGTATATAAATGAATGCTGCTGATGTGGAATGGCGCGTTTGTTAAACGTAAATTCGATAAAAAATAAAATAAATGCGAAGATGAGAAGAAGTGTAGCCAAAAGAAAAAACTGCGCGGTTGTGATGTATGGCAAATTGGCGACACGAAAAGAAAAGTGAAAATACAAAGATACAAAACGCAAAAACTCAATCATAAAAATACACACTGGAAATCACTCTTTTTCTTTTGCCACACTTTTGTCTTGTTTTTTCCATGAAGGTGCACCTAAGATGGCGTTTGCTCGATCTAAGGACGGACACTGCTTTCACATTATCATTGGCCGGTCCTCGGGCGCACAGGTCATACGTAGAACAAACGACAATTTGCATATATCAAATAAAACAAAATAATAACGAAATGTATAAAAATAAAAATAAAAATAAAAATGCATAACTTGTGTGCGTTACGGAGTAACAGACGTCTAGGGCTTGCAGCATTGCCGCTACACGCATGGATGGATGCTGCACAACAATTTCTTTTTTACAGTGAGGGAAGCACAGACGCATTGCTCATCAGCAGCAAGCGGCCACGATGACGGCATCATTTCAATGTACTGTCATCCCTCCTGAGGCACATTCCGGCGTTACAGATTCGGATCGTGACCATGGGCACGGCCACGGCTGCGGTTGCGTGCGGCTGCGGACTGCGAATTTTCAGCCTGGGATGCCGAACGATAAGGGTGGTGAAGACGGCTTTCATGAGTAACCGATGTCACCGGCCCGCCTGCTGCTGGCCGATAGTCCGTGCTGGCATAGTCCGCGTGTGTCTGCGCTGGGTGCGATAGGCCGCTTGCGTTCGCGCCGTGCAATATCTCAGGCTGTGGCGGAACGGAATCAGACGGCGTCAGCTGCGGCAGAGACGGCGAGCTATGCATGGCACTTGCAGTGCCGACCTGGTTGTCAGCAACAGAGATATTCGTGGCAGACATCGGCCTCCCAGCCAAGGGCGCGGCATATGCATTTGGCTGCTGTTGCTGGGCATAATATGCGTTATGTTGCTGGTGGTGCTGCTGCTGCTGCTGCAATTGTTGTTGTTGATGATGCAGTTGTTGTTGTTGCTGATGTTGATGCTGATGCTGATGCTGTTCCTGTTGCTGATGCTGCTGAACAGGAGGAGGCATGGTGGCCGGCATTGCTGTTGCAGCAGCGGTTACAGAAGTAATTGAAACCTCGTCGTCCATAGAGCCTGGATTGGTAGCATTTGATGGGTTGCGCTCGCTGCACCAGTTGCGGTGACCCTCTTGCCACGCCTTGCTTTGGCACGACTTGCTGCAGTACTTGGCTTTGCGGCAGCGCCGGCACTTTGCAAACTCGTTTTGGCGCACCTCCCACTTTTGACACTTGAGATAGGCGCACTGGCGACAATTGTTGCGGGCTTCGTCGCGGCGGCAGCTGTTGCGCATCACGATGGCCGACCAGTAGACCATGTCGGAGGGGAATGCCCGCTGCACGGTGAATCGCTCTACTATCGAAAAGACATCAACAGTAGCATCGCGTGCGTACTTACGCCGCCGAGGCGCCGGTATGCCGGCAGTTGCGTTTGCCTGTGCCGAAAATTGGGCTGCTTGAACTGCGTCTTCCAAGTCGCTGGACATGGCGTATCCGCTTACACTGCTTCCGTTAGTGCTGCTGCTCCCAGGGCCGCTGGCAGCAGAGCCGGAACCATCGGTGCCGCTCGGAATGCGGATATGGGCAGAAAGCAGCGGGCATTCGTGGAGCAGCTGGCGCTGGGAGGGTGTTTTGGTCAGGTATGCAAGGAGCTGCAGTGTAAGCACCACGTCGTCGTGCCGATACATTACGTGGTTGATCGCCTGCAGTCGGCGGCGCGCTGCGTCGTATTCAGCCTGGAGCCGCTCCTGCTCACTGTAAAGGTAGGCATTGCTGTTGTAAGGCATGTGCGTCCCGGGAATGGCAACGTGAGCGCCTTGTGCCGTGACATCCGAGTAGCTGACATGTTGGACAATGGGTGGATGCCTTCACCTACGCGGCGCGTCTGCTGCCGGTTGGCATTGTTGGTAGCTACGGGTGCTTGCTGATGCATCTGCGGGACTGTAATCGGGATTGGGTTAATTCCCGTAGCTGCCGCCACGGCAGCGGCAGCGGCAGCCTGGGCATTGCTGCGAGCAACCGCTGCTGACGCGGCGCGCGAGGAGGTTACGCCAGTGCTGTGGTTAGCGCCAGACGCAAGGATGTGGGTGGATACCACCGTGTTTGACGGGTCGTTGATTGCGGCATGCTCGTCCGAGGTCGGCGCGTCTGGAAGTGCAGAAAAGTCCAAAACCTTGGCAATGTTCATGCGCTCTGACAATGCATTCATCGCCTCGCCCACCTTTTGCTCGAGGCGTAAGACTTCAGTGCCCAAAAGATACGCATGTAAGATCTCGACAAGTATCGGCACGGCGCCAACCTGAACCACGCGCTGCCTTATATCGGTTGTGCCTCGCACGCCAACGTTCACAACACACTGGAAGGCCATGGTCCACTTCCAGTTATGCAGGGTATCCTCGGTCACCCGCGTGGTGCGCAGAATTCGCACGAGGCGCTCGAGGCCGCCGTCAGTGGTAAGAATTTCGCGGATTCGCGCCGAGGACGATGTGAGGTAATTAAGATGCGACAGTGAGTTGACTAGAGGCAGGTCTGCTGTGCAGTCGAGCGCTCGCCGATCGTAGAGTGCGGATGTGATAGACACGCATGCCTTGTTGGTTGATGGAAAGTGAAAATTGGATTCGCGCATAGCCGTAGTGTTGGTGTATGCGATTGACTGAGAGTGGGCGTAATATGTGGCCAGAGTGGCCGTGTAGCTGGCGGGATGGATAAAAAAGCCAGATGCTTGAGCAAAAAAAGAATAAAATAAAAGAAGAAAGCCAAGGCGGACTTGAAAAGGCAATTAATAAAGCGGAATATTGATAAAGAGATGAAAGGATAGTAAAACAGCGTGTGGGAGAATAGAAAATAGGGATTGCTAGTTGAGAGGATGCCAATGAAGAGAGGCAGAGAATGAAGCTACGCGCAGTCAAGTGGCCAAGGGGCGCGCTCGGTCAATGGCACGGCACGCAATCGGATTCTGGGATGAGCAACAGAGGGGCCTCTAGAAAAAATGAGCTGCCTGCACACACACACACACAAGCACACGGTGCAAATGTGTGGTCAGGCGGAGATATGTGCTGTAATGGCTGAGCGGTCACACTTGGCGGCCGGTCGTCGTCGCTGTTGCGAATTGAAATATATGCTATAAATTGTAGAACAGCAAGGTTGAAGGGTGCTGTCTTTGCGAACTAAAGTATTTAGTCGTTCGCTGCGCTGTGCTAATATATGCTGACTGGATGGCTGGCTGCTGGCGTTAGCAAGAGTGAAATTAAACAATAGCCAAATTTATGCGGTCGCTGGTAGGAACAAAATGTGTTTACAGCCCTGTTAAAGTGCAAATGTAATATAAATATAAAAAGAGTAAAACGAGTGGAGACGCTGGCAACTACGATGAGGAAATTCCAGGCTTTTGCTGTCTACAGAAAATAAAAAATATATATAAAAAAGAGCGCAAATACGTAAGGCAAAAGTCGCGGCGGCAATTGGGAATTACACGAGAGGCTCAGCTGGAATATACAAAGAGCAATATAAAGATTTAGAGCAGAGAGACAGGCATGAAAAAGAAAGGAATAAAATAAAGAATAATTAATATTGAAAAGTGGAGAAAAAGAAGGGGAAATGCCAAAATTTTAAAGAAAATTTTTTGCCTTCGCAGAAAAAAGGGGGGCAGGAAAACAAGCTTCTGCTGCCGACATCCAATATCCAATATCCTGCAACAGATCGTCGCTGCGGCAAAGTATGTTGCTGGCGGGATATCAGACCCCACTCTCAACACACCCTTCTTGCGCTCTGGATTTTTGGATGCCGCTCGTAGTTGGCTGCAGGTACTACAGCCCTGTTTATTGCGCCATGTGCGTTCCGCCTTGCCCGTTTTCGCTCTGTATTTGCTGCGCGGTGGTGGGCTCAAGCAAGGAAAGTGCTGTTGTTAGCGATAATGCTAAAGGATCGGCGTCCTAGCTGTCACCCTCAGTCGGACTCAATTTAGCCAGCCAGCCAGGATGCTGACAATACCTTCCTCTGGCGCAACGCCTGACCCTGCACGGGATTCCCGTATTGCTGCTAGTGCTCGTTGTGTGCCTGCGTCTATTTTCCACCTGCAGCGGCAATCCCAGCCCAGCCTTGCTCTGCCCATCAGCAAACATCTTGCTTCCTCTCAGAGGCAGCGTCACATTTTCCGTTTTTTTGCATGGATTGGCCAGCACGAAATATCTAAAAAAGGAGTTCAAAAATACATGGCGAAGTGCTCAGATGGCGCGCACGCTTGCTCACCATAACACCAACAAAGGGAACTTCCCGCCAACAACTGCTGGTAACTGCTTCCCGATGAGGGCAGAGCAGGACATTGCTACATCTTCCTTTTTTTACTTCTTGTTACCAGATCCTTAGCGAATTTTAGCTTCATTACGCGAGACACAGCAACATTAGAGGACACAGCGCCAATTGCAGAAAGGCAAAATTAGACAGCAGTAGTGAGCGCAACCGCACAACACTACTCAAATAAGGATTACTGATATCGTCACCAGCGACCAGATTGGTATTGCGCGCCCTACTACTCGTAGTAGCAACAGCAAAAAAGTGGGGTAGTTTAATATTAATACATTAATTCCGAGTACTCATTTGTCGTGGCCACAGTTGTATTAGGATACATACACACCATCCGTAGCCTAAGCCCCCTTGGATTTTGAGTCGACGACGCTGCCACACAAGCAACGCACTACTCGAGACAATGAGCGCGCCAGTTTATTCAAGCGCCCGCACCTTGTCATCCGATGCAAGCACTATTGCAGATATTGAGCGCAGGCTATTCCAATCTCGCTTCAGCGTACAGGTAATGTGCACTCTGGTTTTGTTTTGCTTTACCCTGTCCATTTGTGCTCGTATTGCAAACACGATTGTGACTATACCACGAGACAAGGGTATGCCCTGGATATGTCCCTTCACTTTCCTGCCCAGCCATCTGCCGACAATAGGTGCGTATAGATGCCGCACTCTGGGAAACATCACATCACATGCAATTATTAATTACACATTCCCCCTTGTGGCCCACTGTGCACTACATATGTGAAAATTGCCTGCCCCAGGTGCTGATTGCAGCCAGTGAGTATACAGTAATCCCAATGATGCATTGATGTCACCATTTGTCTCGAGCACTAATTGAGAATGTTTGCCACTTTTGAACTACATTCAATGTTTCTACAACATTTCCATTTCTAATTATTACTATCTTGCATGTCGGCAAATTGGGGTCTCCCCATTATCACTATACTTCCGCCTGTTCTGCATTTCTTGTTGCTCGCTCATAGTACAAAAAAGGGGAAAGGTGTGGTGCGCGCAGTATGCACCTTTGCATTAATTACACACGTGCTTTGTTTTATATATGCGCAGCTAATTAAAAAAAGACGGAGCAATTAAAGTCTGTGGGGGTAGTCACAATGTGATGCGCTTGGTTCCACATTGGGAAATGGAAATAACGCACCCGTTTGCATTTATTAATTATTTAATTAACCAAACTATGAAGCGTAGCTGCCTTCAATTTGTGTGGCGGAGCCCAGTCAATTAATTAACAATGATTTGTGCTTTGAACTGTGCTGCATGGTGTAGAATTCGGCCCTGAAGAATGTGCATCGCAAGTTGCTCGAGCTGCACGACATACTAGAGATCAGCGAAGCGCATGGCAGTCCAGACATCAAAAGCTGCTTGCTGCTCGCGCGGGCCTCTACGCTGAAAATACCAGCAGCAGACAACCGAACCAACCCGTTGAACATCTCTGCCCTCAGCGGGGTTATAGGTACAGGGGGTATCAGCTATGCCAGCTCTAGCAGCGATATGACCACCAGCCCAGTGTCACCAAGGATGCCGTCGGCGGCATTAGCATCAGCAGCAACTCAGCACTCTGCGGTTTTCACGCACATCAAACGCAAATGCGATGAGGTTCTCCAAATGCCAGGAATCAAGCTTCTGGAGGAGTACCCGAGCGAGGAGGACGTGGTCGGTGAGCAATGTCATTTGCTGGCGGCGCACGCACAGCACATTGGCGAGCTTGTCCAAGAGTTGGAGCTGCTTTCTGCGCTCTACCAGCACTCGGCAGCGCACCCGATCTACGAGGTGGCTCGTGGGCTGGAGAGCTATTTTGGCGGTCTGATAACCAGCCTCGCACTTAAGTTGGATATTATTGCGGCCGACATGCATCGGACGTTGTATGCGCCCGATGTATCTAGGGCAGTCGAGCGGCTGTGGGAAATCCTAAAAGCACAGGAGCGCAGGCTGGTCAAGGAGCGAGCATCCCTGGACGAGCGCCTTGCGATATACAGGGATGCCGGCAGTGAGTTTCAAGAAATTGCTACTGCATACTCGGCGGTTCTTACAGAGACTGAACAGATCCGCCACGACATTGCGCGTGTCTCACAGATGTAGTTGGTGCTAAATACCAAAAAAATACATTTTTAAGTCCAGCCAACTTCAAATCACGTGTACGACTAACCAGTTTGACGATCCACCAGATCTGCCAGTATGTTAGCCACAACAAAGTAGTACGAGTTCATTTTGTTTATGCCACCGAAAAAAAACATTTCTTTCCGGTCTTGCCATCTGAATTCCATTCTTTTTAGAATAATAATAAAAAACCCTACACATATACCCAACTCCATCTAAATGAGCACCGTATACGAGGCAACCGTCACCGCGCCGGTCAACATTGCAGTCATCAAGTACTGGGGCAAGCGCGATTCGGCACTAATTCTGCCGACCAACTCGTCGCTGTCAGTGACGCTGTCGCAGGACCACCTGAGCACGCGCACGACAATTCGCGCGTCGCCAGAATTCACAACGGACAGGTTGTGGCTCAACGGCGTTGAGGAAGACATTGCAGCGTCCAAGCGGCTGGTCAACTCGATCACGACGGCGCGCAAGCTGCGCAAAGCGCTGGAGCTGAGGCAGCAGAACGACGGTATTGCAACTGTGCCTCTGTCGCAGTGGCGCATCCACGTGTGCTCCGAGAACAACTTCCCGACGGCCGCTGGACTCGCATCTTCAGCTAGCGGATACGCCGCATTGGTGAGCGCGCTGGGCACACTGTACAAGCTGCCGCAGACAACGTCGGAGCTGTCGCGCGTAGCGCGCGTGGGCAGTGGCTCAGCCTGCCGGTCGATGTTTGGCGGGTTTGTCGCGTGGCAGGCCGGTGTGGCCGACGATGGCAACGACTCGCTGGCCGTGCAGGTAGCCAGCCGCGAGCACTGGCCCGAGCTGCAGGCGCTTATCCTAGTGGCGTCTGACAAGAAGAAGGCCATCTCGTCGACGGCTGGCATGCAGACCACCGTCGAGACGTCGGCGCTGTTTGCCGAGCGTGTGCGCACAGTCGTGCCTCAGCGCATGGAGGACATGAAGGCCGCCATTGCCGCCCGTGATTTCCCCCGTTTCGCCGAGATCACCATGCGCGACTCGAACCAGTTCCACGCCGTTTGCCTCGACACGTACCCGCCGATCTCGTACATGAACGACACCAGCCGCGCCATCGCTGGCCTTGTCCACGCATTCAATGCCTCCCGCGGCCGCGTCGCCGCCGCATACACGTACGACGCCGGACCCAACGCCGTTATCTATGCGCTCAGCACCGACATGCGCGACCTGGTCGAGCTGGTCACCTACTGCTTCCCGCGCGAGGAGTGCGTCCTGCCCGAGGCCTTCTACCCGGACCCCTTCTCCGTCTTTGCGTCTCCCGACCAGGCTGGACTGCACCTGTCTGACCCTGCGGTTGTTAAGCTCGCCGAGACCATCGGCAAATTCCCCGCTGGCTCCGTGCGCCGCATCATCCACACCGAGGTCGGCGATGGGCCCCGCGTGCTGCCTGCTTCACAGAGCCTGCTCAACGATGCTGGCATGCCCAAGCGTGCCAGAGAGTGACTGCTGCAGCCAGCAGCCAGCATGTGCAAAGCGCCGGCCCATACGATCTAATCGCCATGGGAGCTATTTGCTACATAATACACCAGCATCTATATTTATAATTAATAAAATTTTTCATTGCGTGCTGCACAATTCTATATTTGCGGCTCGCCCGGTCTCAACAAGCCAGCTCTTCACTCGAGATCAAAGAGCGCCTTGAGCTTTTCATACATGTAGAACGACACCGCGAACATCGGCACAACCTTGACGTAGCCGATCGTCAGCCCGACAAAAAATCCGCGCACGCCCGCTGTCTTCCACACCTCTCGTATTATCGGTATCGCGCTGCCCCTGCTTGACGGGTCATGCGCTCCGGCAATTTGCATCCGCCGCCTAACCAGCTCAAACGGGTACGACACTGTCTGAGCAATCACGCCAGACAACCCGCCTGATGTGAGCTCGACCCATGCCTTGAGCTCGTTCTTCTTGCGCCGCCGGTCTCTGCTTTTCCGCTGGTCAAGCGGCTTGGCGGTAATGCTGCCAAACCTGTCTCGCGCCAGTGATGCAAAGTATTCATGTGTCAGAAATGATACGCCGCCATAAGGGATGATACCCATCAGCGATAGCGGAAAGCCTCGGAAAAAGTTCAGTATGCCGAACCGGTATGCCGGCTCCTTGTATATCATCTGTGCAACGGTGCGCACACGCTCGGCTGGCATCCCGCTGGTGGGTGTCAGGTACGCCATACGCACACGGATCATGTCTAGAGGGTAAGTGACCGCAACGCTGATGCTGCCGCATAGTGATCCGGCCAAAAAATTTCGCAAGTGCTGGTCTTGTATCCTTCTGCTGAGAATCTACAGTACGATGTAGAAAAGTGCGCGACGGTAATGTTAGTAAATAAGACTGTTTGAGATACCCAGTATCATTCTAAATACAAAGCCAGCGTGTACACACATGCATGCACACACACGCATATCGCCTTGGAATTTATAATCCACCTTACCATTTTGAGCTGCTCGTATGTCATGAACTTGACAGCTGCGTATGGAAATATTCTTGCGAGCTGCACCGAATGGCCCCGAAACAGGCCGCGGACCCCGTACTCCCGATATATAGCCTTTCCGGCCTTGAAAAGTCCAAAATGTGTGCCCGCATATTTGACATACTTAGAGTTGTGCGTCTGAAACAAAATCTTCACGCGGTCCAGCGGCGCCACCACGGTCTTTGCTACATAAGCCAAATCAAACAAAACGAATAGTATACTTTTATCATTTAGCCGCTGGCAGAATCCAAACCATTTAGTGTTGCACGGAATAGCACGCAGCACTGTCATGTACCTAGGATCGGTTTATCTACTTTTTTTACCTGTACATCCGGCTATTCCACCCGCAATAGATGTCATGGCCGCGTATTTTGCGTTTTCGGACGCATCATGTGTTGTTGATATGGTCGCCGCCAATTCTGGACTAGACGATGAATCCAGTGCAATGGCTGCTGATGCATTCGTTGGCTTTTGTTGCATCTGCTAGTTGTCGCCGTTTGTTTGCCTGGTTACCCGTGAATGAGCGCTTGTGTATATATATATATATTTGTATGTGTGTGTTTTAACGAGGCTGTGCGCGCAATATCTCGCGTCAGCCGTACTGTGTCGATTAATAAAGTTGTGGTGTGTGACGAGCTGCAAGAGATAAATTCAATTTGTGGAAATGACAAGACTTGAACGTTCAATTTAACGAGAGAAAATAATTTTACTGCCAAAGATAAATGAAAAATAAAAAATGAATGCAGAAAATCTTGTAGTAAAAGAGAAATGGCTCCAGGCGAGTGCGCAATGGCGGCTCGCCGTGAGAAAATTACTTATCTTTTTCATGGCGCTTTTTCAGATGCAAGATCATGTGCTATGTGGCCAATCTGGACCACAGTGTCTGTTCCTCGGAGATCTATTCTGGGCGGCAGAGATAACGCTTTTATCCATTTGAAAAGACCACACGTGGGGTTTGAGTGGGACTATAGTTAAACTGGTTAAAAATTAAAATCATGACATGGGACACCAATTACAATGGTTTTTATGCAAAATGATTGCTTATTTCACTGCTTAGAAAAGTGATATTTGGAGTGCACTTCCATGACTCGCTTTTGTCGTTGAATAATATTGTCATCGGATTTTCAAATTGGCAACGGCTCGTTTATTAATTTATCAGATTTCAGTTTTTGGTTTGGATTGAAATTAGGTTTACTTTTGAAATACGAAAAATGCTATAAAAATGCTGGCTTTCATTTACAGGGCCATTTTGCCAGCGCCGATGCGGGCGGAAAATAGCAGGAAACCGGGGACTACAAAACCCAGCTATTGCTTGCTTGTTCAACCGCTGCTTACTTGGGCGCTTGGCCGTTTCATTGACAACAGCTTGGCCACTGTCTCATATATCAGAATGTTCTTTAAAATTTGAACTTTGGAAAGATATGTATTCTCATGACTCTGAGCGTTCTCAAATTATTATTTCATAGTCAGCTCTGACTATTTAAATCATTCCTGGCAATTAGAACAATTTTTAAAAGTATATTTGTCCATTTCCCAAAATAATTACAAGCATCCAATTCCATTGCAGCCCCAACCGCTGTGGCCCCCGATTCCATCACAGCAGGAGCAGGTAGCCGCAACAGGCATAAATATAATTCCAGCAGTAGAAAGCCATTCCCAAATCTTATGCCACGGCTTGCTCCAGTGCACAATGGAAAGCTGCCTGCAAGCCTTCAGGGTCGAGAGAACCAATATTAAAAATGGCAAAAAAAGTGTCATCAGGCAGACAGAAGTGGGACAGTCGTGGCGTGATTACGGTACTTAACTTTCGCATCATATTCAATGTTCTTGCTTACAGGCAATCGGCCTCCTAGTTTTTTTTGCACAAAAAGGCAACGTTCGAGTCGGCTGAAGCCGATTCTACAGCGACACCTGGCACTTTGCTCAGGCCAAAGCTCAAGCCAAAGCCCAAGCTTCTCCTTGCAAGAAGCAGGGCAATGATTAATATCTTCAGCCATAGTAACCTATTGCCTTTAGTTTCTAAGCGCCTGTCGGGTTGCTATGCAATCAGGTTGGGAAAGATATGTCGATTTGAAGTATATTTAAAATTTTTGATATTCGTTACAAGTGGTTAATATATAGAAAATTTGGTTTTATTTATCCATGAGAACATAGAGCAGAGCCTTCCATCTCATCCCCTTTATATGTTCTCTTACGTGATTAAAACAAAAAACGAATAGGCATTGATTCCTTCACTGTCAATACTTAAAACAACTTGTTTGACCAAGCCAATGTGACTTTATCAAACCCTGGATGTAATGTATTTGTAGTCTTATTCGTTTCTTCAGTATAGATAAACATTGTTAATAGGGCGTGGCAAGTGGCCACGGTCACGGTCACGCTCACGGCAATATGAAATATTAAGTAAATAGGTAAAATAAAAAGAGAATAGAGATCAATGAATGCACGCGTCAAACATCTCGACAGAGCCTGTTGTACTGCGCCCTTGATACACCAGCCCGCCAGCAACAATAAGCAAGCAATTGTCCACAGTCACTGCGGAGGCATCATACCGTAGGGTGTAAAGTGACGGTTTGTGGTGGGTGTTTGCGATAAAGGCTAATGAGCGCGTGTCTAAAATGTCAAACTCTTTGCTCTGGTCAGTGCCCGAAACAAACACAATGTAGTCACCAAGGGCTTGGACCAGTGGGTAGTCACGCGGCACAGACAGCTTGAGTGCGGTACTGATCCATTCGCCAGCCCCCGCATCGTAAATGTCGACCCGATCGATAACGGTTGTCAGAGGCTCGGACAAACCGTCGCCAAACAGGTGGCCGCCGCCGATGGCAAATACCCTGTTCACTGCAGCACCACCGGCACCCCAGCGTGGATATGGAAATGTCTGGTCAGCAGTATAAATGACTGCCGAGTCAGTAGTCTTAAAAACAGTTGTCTGGTTCGAGGGCTGGAAGTCATTGAACCGCTCACCTGGGCGGTTATTCTGGTACCCAGATGTGAACAGCCCCAGGCCATTGGCGCTGTCGGAAATGGCAACCCCGAACTGTGGATAATCGATCTGAAGCGTATCATTTGAAATGGCCAGGTTGGCATCGACATAGTCGACCGACCTGCTCAGATACTGAAGGTCGCCAGAAAGTCCACCAACGATCGCAGACACAGTGCCTAGATCAAGGATTTTTGGAGAGCTGCGGGGCGTGTGCAGATTTAAGGTTGACCACTTGCCAGTCTTAGTATCATATACATCGACCACGCTCATTGGTCTGAAGGATGCATCGAGCCCTCCAGCAAACAGGGCGTACCTTCCGGCGACAGAGCCCGCTCCAATCGATGATCTGCTGGACGACAGGTGCGATACTGTCCACTTACCTGTCTGCTTATTGAATATATCAACGACGTCTGTGTACAAATCGTTCTGCAGCCGGCCGCCAGCAAACAGCGCAAAGTGGCCGACCGAGGTTGCGGCAATGGATGATCGGGGCACAGATAGCATTTGTCCAGAGTATATCCAGTCTTCCAGGTTTTCCTTGACTCCCGGCATGGCGTCATCTTTGTAGCTACCCGATGAGTCAGGCAAAGCAATTCCAGCTGCGCGGCGCGCAAAGGCCAGTAGGCAAGTGATTGCCAGAAACGTGGACGATAGTCCCTTCATTAATGATGGCTTTATATTGTGCCTGTTGTTGGCGTATATAATATAGGATATGGTGCTTGGTATACGAGCTCCAAAAGATGTTTAATATTTATTATAAGCTTAGAACAACAAAAAGTGGGTGGAGAATAGTGTAATGCAATTAGCAAAGTGTGAACAGGTAAAGAGAAAGGAAATACATCCAAATGAAAAATAGTAGTAAGCTCATTAAATAGTTGCAGAGAATTAAGCAAACATGCATAAATTGGCGAAGGTATACTGTCTCTACCCTATGAATAGTTTCTCCACAGCCACGAGATGTACTCGGAGGATTCTCTGAAACACTCGCATTTTTGTCAAGTGTTGAATGTAAAATAAGCTATCCATATTTGGAAAGTTGGACACAAAGCTGCGTTTGTACACAAATGGAAGCGAGCGAGGTGTACTTGGCGTTAAGGGGATTCGAGGGACGCCTCAAAATATCGCACAGACAATCGCGTGAGTGCGTCTCCATCCGCTTAAAACAACGCTTCGCCGATGTCATCTGAATACGATAAAAAACAGGATGCACGCAATGCGTAATTGGTATACGCAATATATGATATTCTTTAAAAATACGAGAATTATCAGCATGTGACATGACAAAGTGTCCCTATTAATAGACCTAGCCACAATAAAGGCAATCTGTACATGTGTGAATATAATTGTTTTTTTGGATATTTTGTACACTGTCTACGTCCATAAAAGCCGAGCACTGTTTGTATTGCTCAGAATACTAAAAAAAGAAAATCTAAGCGGCTTTGCAGAATATAAGCATGGCACAGGGGAGAGAAGGCGCTGTTATGATGGCATCGGCGTGTGTGTATGTGTATTCATATGCGAAAGCTTCAGCAGTCATAATTGTTCGCACCAGTGACATGACTCAAAAAACCCCTAGTGCTTCTTGGCAAACAGCTTGAGATAATCGGGTCTTGCCTTCTTGTCGCCGCCCTTTCCTTTGCTGGAGCCCTTAGCAACTGCAATCCTGGTCTTGAGCTTCGTAGACTTTGATTTAGTCACACTGCCGCCGCTCATCTTAGAGACGGCCATTGGTGCCGGCTTTTGAATAGAAGAGGGTGCAGGAGATCTCGAGTGAATGACAGCTTCCTTTTTCGTATCTTTTTCCTTTTTCGTCGGACGCTTGAATGCCTTTGCTGACTTTCCCATTGTGGCAGATTTGCGATGGATTGATTTGGAAAAGAATTGTATTTACCAACAAAGCAAAGGCAAAAATAAACAAAGAGTTTGTACAAAGTCCAAGAAAACAGCCAGCTGCGCCAATTTTATTGCTGATGATCGGCCGGCAACCCAAGCGCGATGCTCAATAAAAACTATGGGAAATGGCGCTAGCAGGAGTTGGGACAATACCCAATTTTTTGATATGGAATGATTTTGTTTCGAGAGCAACACTTGCATTTAAATGTATTATTAATGTGCTAATTGGGCATCAGGCCAATACACAGAATACTAAAAGTGAAAACAAACCCAGCTGCGGCCAGAAACAACAATTTCCAACCAGTTACAGCCTATTTTTAATTAATTCTCAGGGAGTCTGGGATTTCCGGCTGGAATATATGTCCGGCTGCACCAGCTGCAGTGTTGCTGCGCTCCTGGCATAAGCACAAATGTTTTGCCAAACCCGCCTCAAAAATACACTGTTGGTGTTGTTTGTCCACTTGTTTGCGTCAGGGGTTTTATTATTTTCGTCATCTTCTGACAATGGATGCAAGTGGCGAAGGAAAAGGGCCAGACCACAAACAAAATTATTTCTTTTATATTGTGCTCGGAGAGTGTCTCGGCCTTTTGATTTTCAAATGTCACTATTATTTAGTTTTATCTGTCATTTCGTACTACATCTTTGTTGATATTATCGCCAGCCTTTTTTTCGATTTTCTTTCCTCGATATTTTAATTTTCCACACTTGTATTTTTCCCGCCTTTTTATTCCTTTTTATTTTTATACCCTTAGCACAACTTGTCAGCTTTCTTCTCTTTAATTTGAACGAGAGAAAGAGGGGGTGTGTTTTCGCAAATACAAATACAGATAAATTCGCCACACACATATATACCGGAGAGCAATTCGCAGACTCTGTGCTTATAACATGGGCAGCTGCATATCGCACGATTATGACGAGGCGGGATTGCGAAATGCCGAAATTGACCGCGAGCTCGCCGAAGAGCGGAACCGGCGGTCTGAAGAGGTCAAAATTCTGCTACTTGGAAGCGGCGAGTCTGGCAAATCGACAATTGTCAAACAGATGAAAATCATTCACCAGAATGGGTACACACGCGAAGAGCTGGCGCTGTTCCGAATGACTATATACAAAAACGTGTTGGACTCGGCGCATGAGCTGGTCGTCGGAATGCAGCGGTGTCAGCTCTTCCCGGCGGACGAGCGCAACATGGAGTTTGTCAACAAAATATTAGAGCTCAACATCGAAAAGAGCCTGGCCATCAACATTACGCCTGACTTTGTCGAGGGCATCGAGCGGCTGTGGAAGGACCCGATTATCGAACGGCTGATTGTGCAGACGAGCAAGTTCTACCTGATGGACTCGGCGCCATATTTCTTTAACAACATCCGGCGAATCGGCGACCCCAAGTACTTGCCCACGGAGGCCGACGTTCTGCGCGCGCGGTCAAAAACGACAGGCATTATTGAGACGCGGTTTATGATGAACAACACGTGCATACACATGTTTGATGTCGGCGGCCAGCGGTCGGAGCGCAAAAAGTGGATACATTGTTTCGAGAGTGTGACGTCAATCATCTTTTGCGTTGCGCTGAGCGAGTACGACCAGGTGCTGCTCGAGGAGTCTTCACACAACCGCATGGACGAGAGCCTGGTTCTCTTCGACTCGGTGATCAACAGCCGCTGGTTCCTGCGTACCTCCATCATCCTCTTCCTCAACAAGATTGACTTGTTCACCAAGAAGATCAAGATTGTGCCGCTAAGCAACTACTACCCCGAGTACACCGGTGGGCCCGACGAGAAGCTGGCCGCGCGCTTTATCTTGTGGAAGTTTTCGCAGGCAAATCGCGCCAATCTCCAGCTATATCCGCACATCACCCAGGCCACTGACACGTCCAATATTCGGCTGGTATTTGCTGCTGTGCGCGAGACCTTGCTCCAGAATGCACTGCAGGAAAGCGGGATCCTCTGAATGCATCGGCCAAAACCCGTATTTGTTCGCGTCTCTGGTTGCATCCCAATCACTACCATTGTTACCACTGTTACCTGTTCTGACACGTTATTATTTCTAATATTTTCCGCCACACCTCATTGTTTGTTTTTTCGATGTCCTCCCTCCCCCATTTCGGCGCATCGTCCCACCTGTGTTTGCTTTGTCCAACCGCGGCACCAATTTGTCGCTGTTATGCTTTGCTCGCAGCCCCGCGCCCTTCCTCTGAATCAAGCAACTGTAGATTGCAGCGATGATTTGGCAAACGCGGCCGTGGCGAACACAACCAGAACCCGGACAGAAATACAGACAGGCGTGTCGCTTGTTTGCCTGCATCGTGGAAACGGTATGTCTCGCCACAAGTATATATTTATCACATCTATTTCCTTTTTTCTACTATCTGGCTTAATCTTTTCAATTCATACACTTTATATCCAGGTGTTTATCTATCATATATTATATTATACCATAATATATAACCTCAAATACTCATATTCTCTTATGCAACAAGTGTGACCATACAACGACAACTGACAGATGCCCAAGGCAAGTGAAAAACAAAAAGGAAAATATATATGAAAAACAAAACCAAAAGATCAATTTAGTCTCTTCTCGTAGCCACACACGCATGCCCCCGGTCAGCCAGATATTTAGCGACGGCCTCCACCCTTCTTGTTGCGCTTCTCCCTCGCCCTCTTTGCGCGCAGCTCCTTCTTCATGCGCGGATCCACCATCTTGTATTTGCCCTTGATGCCCTTGGGGCGGCCCTTCAAGCCACGATTGGCGTTGCGAGCAACAATAACGGTGACCTTCTCCTTGGGCTTGGACTTGGTGGCGCGCTTGATCATGCGGTCGATGCTGCGGGCCTTCTCGGCCTCGTCATGTCATCATTGGTGAGGACTCCCTCAGCCTTCCGCTGCATGCCAACAATGCGCTTGGACGCGCGCATCTTCTTCCTGGCCTTGGCCTCAGCCACCTTTTTGATCGGCCGGGCGTCCAGCGCCTTGATCTTCTCGCGCAGCATGCGCACCGCCTCCTTGGAAACCGGAAGCAGGGGCTTGTTGTGCTGCTGTCGTCATCCACAAACCAATCCGGAAGCTCTCTCGTGTCATTGAAGGTGTAGCGGTTAAAGTGCTTGTCAATCAAATCATGCTTGTTGGTCTTGCGGTTGGCCAGGTCGCGGATCATGGTCATCGCCTCGGGGTTGGCCAGGTCATAGTCAGCTTGCCTCTCCTCGTCCTTAAGCTCGACGTCGTTGGGATCGCCGTCCTCATCGGCAGACGCGATATCAAAGTCGCTCTCATCGCTGGCGTCGTCCACATCGGCAGCAATGGAGTCGGCCTGACGCTTGCGCTTGCCTAGCTTGCTGGAAATATTCTTGTAGGTAGCGTCCTCGTCGGCATCCTCATCATCAGTGATGTCGTTTAGGTCAATGTTGCCCATGCCCTTGAAATGGGCTGGTCAAACCACATCGCCGCACGCCCACCGAGCTTGACGTCGCCGATAGGCGCAGATCCCTTGTTTGCGCCGGCAGCGTGCTTGTCCTTCTTGGCCTTCTTGGCGTCGCGCATCATGCGCGAATGGCCTCATCGTCGCTCATATCCTGATCGTCATCAGAGTCAGAGCCGACATGCGCCTCAGAGTCGGAGCTGTCGTTACCTGAACCCTTGGTTTCGGCGTCTCTTCGTCGCTGAATCCGCGGAACTCTTCCTGAGCGGCCCTCTTGCGCTTGATATCAAACTGGGCGTCGCGCTCGCGCTTGTGGCTCACGTATTCCGAGTACATCTCGTCCATTTCTCCCTCCATCTCCTGCAGACGCTGCTCGTCGTCGCTGTCAACATTGTTGCCTCCGGCCTCATCGCCGCTGTCAGCATCAGAGTAGCTGTTGTCAGAGTCAATCGGACGGCTTCCGAGCTCAACAAGCTCGTCGTCAGCCAGATCAATATCGACATCAATGTCACCCACATCAGCCTCGCGCAGATCCTTGAGCGCGCGGGTGCCGCTCATCTTAATAGCAAGGTCTGATCTAAAGACGGGATCACCACCGTCCTGCTCCATACCAATATCGGTGGGGGTGGTCATGTTGAGCTGCAGCTTGATCAGCTGGCGCTGGCGCTTGGCATTCAGGCGCTTGCGCTCCTTCTTCAGCCTCTTCATCTCCTCCGTGGCGAGCGTGTCCAGCTCCCCCTCGATGTCGCTGCCGTCCTTGCCGTCAGCGCCGTCGTCGATCTTAGGCTGCTCCTCGGCCTTCTCGAGCTGGAAACGCTCACGCAGGCTGGCGCGCCATTTCATCAAAATACGGAAGTCCTTTTTGCCAAGAACGCGAAGGTCCCTGCATGCCAGCAAGATGTCCTCGGTTGTCTCGGGCAGCTTGGCAACCTCAATCGACTCCTCCGTGTCAAAGACCATCTCGTTAGCACCGCCCAGTGTGCCGGCGGGGTCTCTGCTCTTGACAAACTCCATGGCGTCAATCTTCTTGTGCAGTATGTAGTCGCCCTCCTCGTAACCCTCACGATGGCGCTTCTTCTTCTTGATCTCGGGCGCAAAGATATCTGTCGATGTCTGTGCCTTGTTGAGGATCAGGTCCTCGAATACGTACTTTGCGTCGAGGAACCGCGGATCAATCTTCTTGGGTGCAATGTAGTCCTGGCAGACGACGAAAATCTCGGCTGACACGTTTCTCGACGATGGGGGCTTTGTGGCCTCGACTTTGCGGAACAGTTGGTTGAACACCCAGATAAGACTGTTGTAGTCCTTGGACCGGAAAACCTTGGTAACAAAGGTTCCGCCCTTGTTGAGGAACTCTGTGGCGAGCTTCAAGGACATGAGCACGAGCTCGGTCTGCGAGTATGCGTCATGAGACCAGTTGGATCCAACGTTGGGCGCACCATCGTGCAGAACGACATCAGCCTTCCATGTCTTCATCTCCTGGCGCAGGCGGTTGCGGCACTTATCTGTGAGAATATCCTCGACAAGGGTGATCACGTTCGGGATAGGCTTGATGGGCACCAGATCGACACCTACAGAAATGGCAATGAGAGTTGGGAAATGAGAGTTAAATATTAGTAGAGAAAACAGCTTTTATTAAGTGTATGCTATGCTATAGGCACCAGTGCTGTGTTTGGTCACAGTAGTGTAATTGCTAGACATACCGAGAATGATGCTCTTCACGGGCATATACTTTTGGGCAACCTGGAGCCATCCACCTGGAGCGGCGCACAGATCAATGAGTGAGCGGGCGGATCCTAGGAAGTTGTACTTTTTGTTCAGCTGGATCAGCTTGAATGCCGAGCGAGCACGGTAACCCTGCTCCTTGGCAAGATGGTAGTACTTGTCGAGACGACCTTTACCGGTCTTTTTCTGATATCCCATTGTCTCAACTGCGCAGACGTGTGTCCTCTGGTCAGGGCGCGTTCAAAGCAAAAGGTGGAAATATATAAAGCTGGAATAAAAAGCAAAAGCTGAAATAATAACAGGCCAAAAATAATGAGAATAAAGGTCCAAAACAATAAACAAAAAACAAATTACATTCACCGAGTAGTCAGGCGGGAGAAAAAAAGATTGATGTGTGGTTGTTGGTGCATGCACTTTTTTTTGCTTGTAAAAAATAAATTTTTGGTTAAACTTTTTTTTTCTCTCTTGCCTACTTCTTCGCATGTAAAAGATCAGCAAGGGATTAACCGATTAAAAAGTTAAAAATAATTGAACTAATTTTGAGATCACGTGTAATGCATATATGTTGTAATGGAGTGGAATGGAATGGACATTTTTTTTTAAAAAAAACATGCAAATAGGTGCAGATACAATTACAAATTCTAGTTATGCCCATATATATTTTTCTTTGCTGCTGACAAAATAAAGCGTATGTCCCACTTTAAAAATTAAAACTTTAAAGGTGCACTTTCTGCGCGCTTGTAAAGTTAATGTATATATAGAAAATGTGTAAAATTATAAACCAAAAATAGTTGAATGTTTACTAAAATTATTTGCCATCATGGATAAAAGCTACAAAAAGCTGCGCTTTATCTATAACAAAACCATGCACAAAAAAAACAAAACAACCGATACTGGCAAAGCAAAATTCTGCTAGGCTCAATCAGCAGGGACAACAGCAGCAGCTGCTGGCACCTCACAAAAATGTCTTTAGCAGCAACCCAAGCCCTGGCTGGGACCCTGCTGCGTGTCGCCAATGTTGACCTTGGTGTCAGAGGCAGTCTGCTCGGGCTGGCTGGCCGATCCAACAGGCGCTTTTTGATATCAGCGGCGAGCTCGAGGAATGCCTCTTCAACCTGGAAGTTTGACTTTGCGCTGGTCTCCTTGAATTTGATGTTGAGCTTGTCGGCGAGAGCCTGGCCTCTTTCCTTGGGCACGGCCCGACGGTCCTCAATGTCGCACTTGTTGCCGATAAGGATCTTGTTCACGCCCTCGCTGGCATGCTGCTCGACATTCATGTGCCAGTTCTCAATGTTGTTGAACGATCTCTCATCAGTGACGTCGTACACAAGCAGAATGCCCATGGCGCCGCGGTAGTATGCCGTAGTGATTGTGCGGAAGCGCTCCTGGCCAGCCGTGTCCCACTACAACCATATAATAAAAGAAAAGAAAGATAGAATGTGTTAGTATGTATGCTCTTCAAAACATTGGCGCACAGAGTTTCTCTCTGTTTGAGAAAAAAACAAAGCGCATTTGATGGCGCATAAAACGTACAATTTGGAGCTTGATGCGCTTGCCGTCCACTTCGATGGTACGAATTTTAAAGTCGATTCCAATGGTTGTGATGAACGATGGGGTGAATTGGTCGTCCGAAAAACGCAGCAATAAACAGCTCTTACCGACACCTATAACAATAAACAATGCATTAATATGGCCGTTTGGTTTTATTAGTATGTGAGTGCTGTTTACAGCCTGTTGTGCGGTTGCACTGTTACACACATATGACCTTAATTCCGTGCAGCATGGTGAATTCAGATGTGTTTTTTTCCGAGCACAGGCATCCGGAGAACACAGCGATGAATGTTTGTCGCTGCGAACGTGCTGATTCCAAGACTTACCCGAGTCGCCAATTAGCAGCAGCTTCATCAGATAGTCATAGCTAGTATTTTTTTGTGCAGCGGCCATTTTTATTGTCTTATTTCTTCTGTCTGTTGTAGTAGTGGTTGTAGAATTGGGTCCGTAATTCAGATTAAACTGTGACAAAATTATAAAAAAATAAAGCAAGAAAAAACAAAAAAGAACAAAAAAATAAGAATAAAAAAGTAAAGTCAAAGAGAAAGAAAAAGGAGCAAAGGCCAAGAGGGACAAGGACAAAAGTGGAGAGCAAAATGCAAATATTTGCACTCTTTATTGTACAGATGAAAAATGTCTGTCTGTCTTTGTTTTCATACCTGCAAAGTGACTAGCCATACTTGACAGTGATCGGGTGACGTTGTTGCTCGTTTGCGGTCACATTGTGGTGTGAGAACAAAATAATGTGCTTGTGCATTATTTTTTTCTTGTCTTGGGCCATTTTTTGTAAACATTTTGTTTTTTTTAAACATTCAGCGCACGCATGCTTGCGATCCGTGATGCTGGCGACGATAGCCTGCCAACAAGCCTGATCTGGCTTCTCATTGTGTGCATTTTCGTCGGGATCTCGGCTATATTTTGGTGCTTTTTGACAACCTGCGTCGGCGGGAAGCCCTTTTGCACTTCCGGCACTGGCTGAGGCAGCGGCACCAGGGTGTGTCTCAGCGAGAGCAGTGGGGCGGCCAAGTGGGCTGGACAGCGCTGCTACAGCAAAACCAAGACATTGAGCGGCAGTAGAAAATTTCAGTCAGAACTACTTTTAATTTTTGTCCAGGTTTTATAAGCAAACACTTTTGTTTCGGGACAGTAACCAAAAAAAGAAATAAAAACAGACCAAATTTTATGCGTGCAAAGGAACACAGTTGTGATGGAGAAGCCTTTTGCAAACCCCATGCATAAATAAATGGGAGTGATAACTTTTAGTGGACAGTAAACCTTTTTAATCGGCAGCCTTGATATTTGTATCAGCGAAGAGCTTAAGCTTGAGCTTTATTATTGGAACCCTTTATTCAGGCTGTGTAGCAGAGATAGTTGTCGCTGGGGTCTTGAATATGAGCTTGATTCTTTTGACCCTGCACTCATCCTTTTTTTGTTGAATAGGATCTTGGCTGGACTTGGAAGGCGTCGCTGCGGCGTAGTACGCGTCATTATTATCCAATTCGTCGACGCACTGCTTGGCCGGGACACCACTCGGCTTTTCATTGTTACTGCCACGGTCAATTGACATACCGTCAGGATATCAGGTCTGCAGCCATTTCTTGTTGGTGCACTAGGGCTTGCGGTTGGCCTTTCCAACTTCGCGTGGATCAGGCCACCCAGTGATATTTTCCACCTTGGAATGGCATGCCAGGCAGAACATGACACCCTTCCTAAAGTCGCTTGAATATCCCAAACAGTTGAGGATGTCGCGCCTGCTGGAGTCGATAAACACAGTGCGTTTGGTCCAGTTGAGGATATCGTCACACATCAAGTCGTCATGTAAAAAAAAAACCGACTGTCCCGCTTCTTCCGCTTTCGTTTTTTAACACCCTTCTCGACATCAGCAGCTGGTCTGGCATCAGCAGTCTTCCGGATTTTTTTTGGGGGGGCGCTTGCTTTGATAGCAGTCTGAGTGGCGACCCAATATTTTTTAGTGTTTCTTTAGTGTTTTTATTGCAAATAAATCGAAATTTTTAATAAAATTTCAATAAAATGAATGCAACGAAAAAAGGGGACACGCTTGAATTTAAAAGTGTGACCTCCCATGGAGCCTTGATTTATTCTGATTTTGTTTATTGAAAAGTCCATGATATTACGGACTTTTTGCCTCACGCTTAAAAAATCAGGAAAAAAGTTCAGAGAATCCAGGGAAAGAAACTGATTTCCATCACAACTGTGAACATTCAATACATATACAAAAAATAAATAAATAAAACCCAAAAATAATAATATATGAGCGGACAGACAGATATGAGCTTAAAAATAAACTGGCAAAAATGCCAACACTGGCGGGGCGTTATTTTGGAGTTTAGAAAAATATCATCTGGCAGCATCCAAAGCAGCAATGTCGCGGCGGAGCTCCGCGATCTCAATCTCAGCAGCCTGAGCTCTGCCCTTGTACTCATTGTATTTTTCGGTAACCTGGGACACAGCCGACTCCAAGCGTTTGCACTCGGCGGCTTCAGACTCGAGGCTGAATATATGGTTGCCGGTGGCTTTGAGCGGAATCTCAGGGCCCACAGCGCTCTTGGTCAGAGTGTCAAAAAACTCCTCGGTGGGGTCGCTGAATATCAGCTCGTCGTAGAAAAAGTTATTGACGGGCTTTCCCTTGGGCCACGTCTGGGCCTGTGAATCTGGCGGGTAGAGTTTCAGCATGTGGTAGAGCGAGATGGGTTTTTCGCCTGATGACAGCGGAAAGTAAATTTTTGTGATGATCTCGAACTCGCCCCAGCCCGTCTCGGTGACTTCGTATGGGGCGGTTTTGAAAGCTCGGTTGTTGTTGACAAAGGTCTCGTGCAGCTTGAACTCGACCTTGTGAATAAAGGATGAAATGTCCTGGCCGTTGGGTCCACGCAGAAACACGGTCCATTTGTGTGTGTTGTTGGACTTTTGGGTGGGCAGTTCAATGGCAATGTTGCCGTAGACAATGGGCCTGCTGATGACGACGCCCTTCAAACGCTTCCCGGTCTTCATGGCAAGAATAACAGGCGAGCAATCAGAGACAAAAAAGAAAGATAGTAGTTGCGATGCGCAGCAGGTTAAAAAAATAATCAATCTAATCAAACACGGCCACGCTAATAAAAAAATTGGGTGCTTTGGCATGAATGTATTGCTATAATATCCTTATGACCAAAATCACGTGGAATGGTTGTGGCCAAGCATCACATGGGGGGGGCTTTTATGCGAGAGAGTAGCACAATCAACTACTTGTATAGAGTGATTTTTAAATTAAAATATATAATTAATGTTGGTACATGAGAAATAATGAAAGTGTTAGCTAGAGAAAAACCTTGTCAATGAGGTAGTTGCTGGCCTTGTTGACATCGTAGTCGTACATCTCGAGTGCGTGGAGGGCCTGCGGATGGCTGAATCCCATGCTGAGAAGAGTGTTGACCTGCTCGACGTGGCCGACATGTGTGGCCGAGCTGAGGCCGGAGGGCCCGTCAGAGGCATAGTCGAACTCGCTGAATTCCATAAAGGGCTTTGGAGGAATAATAGGCGGGTTTTGGTCGGGGTGGTGTGGCCTATCTTGGAATCTGGCGGAGAAGCCAGGCTCAGGAGACAGACTTGCGTGAGGCCGAGGGGGACTCATGCTGGATGTGCTGGTGCCGTTGCCAGTGTCATTGGTGGTAGAGCTGCCTGTTTGTAGGCGGGGCTTCCATTCGTCAGGCTTTGGCGGGAGAACAGGGGTGGATGGCTCCTTCTTCCAGCTGGCAGGCGGATTCTGCGTGCATGTAGGGATGAACTGCTGCTGTTGCCGCTGCTGTTGCTGGGGTATTGTGGGTGTGGAGTGCGAGAAATGAGTTAATGGCCTGACGGTAGAGACAAGGGGACCATTTGGTGCTGCTGCTGCAATGGGATGGAAGGGCGCGGGAAGACAAAGCCTATGTGACTGTTCGCAGGGCGAGGGCCCATGTGCACATTGGCCGGGCGATACGTGAGCTGTGTCGGTGGCTGAGGCTGAGGCTGAGGCTGAGGCTGAGGCTGGGCCTGAGGATGGTCTGAGGCTGGGTCTGAGGCTGGGCCTGAGACTGGGTCTGGTGCTGAGGCTGAGGCTGAAGCATCGTGTGTGGGCGAATGGTTTGTTGCTGCGGGTCAAAGTTTGGCGGGTACTGGGCAAGCAAAGTTGGAGCAGGTAGAGATGTGGCAGGCACAGCGGGATTTTCCGCATCGGCTGCAGTCGGGATAGCTGCGGCAGCCGAGTGCGGGCGCTCAGGCCGCGGTGACTCAGCTACTGTTGTTGCGGCAGCAGTGGCAGGCGAAAGATGCTGCTGGCGTTGGTCGAGTGGGGGCTGCGATGCGCCGTCCACCGGTACCGATTGAGCGGGGCGGGCAACGCCGCTGTCACTCTTGGGCTTTGCCAGCATAGGCTGTGCAAACGGGGTGCGATCGGGTTCCTTGCCTTTGTGTCTCTCCTTGCGCGAGGCAATAATGTCTACCATCGACAGCTGCTGCTGGGCCTGCCTGAGGCGCACGTAGTGGTCGTCCTGCTTCTGCTTTGAAATTTCGTTCATGATTTTCTTCTCGAGCGAAAAGTCGTATCTGGGAATGCGCGACACGGGCTGGTAGTCACCGATTGCCTCGAAGGGGAACGAGACGGGGGCCGGCAGTTTGACAGCGAGCTCGAACTTGAGCCTGAGGCCCTGGAGAAGATCGGTCATTGGGCAAGAGCAAGTTGAATTGGAGTGAGGCAAAGTAAAGTGGGAATTGAAGTGGAGTGGAATGGAGTGGAATGGAATGGAATGGAGTGAAGTAAGGTCAGGTGAAGTAAGGTGAGGTGAAGCGAAGTGAGCTGAGAGTTGAATTGAAATGAATTAATGCGGGATTTGAGCAAGGGTCAGGCGGGTTCACGTGGCAAGAACAAATGAGAGGATAAAGAGCAGCAGGATTAGCATGGTAGAATAGATCCACTGATTTTTGCGGATTGCGCGCATGGCTCCAGCCCACAAGCGTTGGGAGGCGCGCGCAGCCGCAGAAGCCCAGGGCGAAGAGTGCGCAGCGCCAGAGCGCAGCGCGGCGGCTGGTGGACAACAGCGAGACTCACACACACCCTAAATGGAGAAAAAGAACAAACACGCGACTCACTCGACCACGGGCGGCGCGTTCCCAGCGACAGTGTGGCCGGTACACCGCAGCGAGCGCGCAGCCGCGTACAGCGGCGCCGACGCATTGGGCGTCTGGCAGCGGGGAAACATGCTGGCGGCCGTCGGCGCCAACGCCGGCGCCGGCGTGCGGTGGCTGGCGCAGTCCGAGCCCAGCGCGCAGGGCGTCCGGCAGCAGGCAAGAATGCTGCGCGCGGCGACGCACGTGCCAGGGCTGCTGGAGGCGCGCGCCCCGCCGCCGGCCGAGGAGATGGTCGCGCACTTCGAGCGCATGCACGCGGCGCTGGACATTCCACGCGACCTGCTGCTGGGCCTGTTCGGCGACGCGGTGTCGCAGCCGGAGCCGGCGCGCACCGGGTCGCTGGTGGCCGTGGCCGGGCGCCGCGCGCTGTTTGCCGGAGGCCCGGCCGGCACGCAGCTGTGGGCGCAGCAGCTTGCGGCGGCCGACGCGGCGTGCGTGCTGGAGTTTGCGGCGCCGCTGCGCCAGGTCAGCGCGCGCGCGGCGTTCCCGGACCTGTGCGGCGTGCGCACCGACGGCGTGGCGGCGCTGGTGCGGCTGGGCCCGGCGCCGTCGATGGCGCCGGCCGCCGTCGACGGCGCCGCGTATGACCTCTCGCGCGGCGACCGGCGCACGTGCCACGCGGCGTGGAGCCCGTGGGCCGCGGCCGAGGCGGCGCTGGCGTCGTCGACCGGCGCCGTGCGGCTGTGGGACGCGGCGGCCGCGCGGCAGACGGAGCTCACGGCCGGCGGCGGCGGGGCCGGGTGGGCGGCCTGCGAGTTCTGGGGCGCGCCGCGCGTGCTGCTGACGGCCACGGGCGCGGCTCTGGGCTGCGTCGACGCGCGTGCGCGGCGCACGGCGCTGGTGCTGCTGGACGTGGCCGCGTCGCCGCACACAAGCGCAGGCGAGGTGCTGACGGCCGCGGCGCCGTCGGCGCTGCACGCGATGCACGCGGTGGTCGCGTCGACACACGCGCTGCGGCTGTACGACCGCCGCTACGCGCGCCAGCCGCTGCTCGCGTGGGTCGTCGACGCGCAGGCCGCGCCGGCCTTTGTGGCCACCGCCGCCGTGGCCGGCCGCGGCGTCATCGTCGTGGCGACGCGTGCCGCGAACGTCAGCGTCTTCGACTATGCGCAGCCGGCACCCGACGCGCCGCTGGCAGCCGGCGCGCAGACGGCGCTGCGCCTGCCGCCGCAGTCGGCACGCGCCATGCAGGACGCGTGCGCCATCGACCCTTCGGCCCGGCCGCGCCGCGCGTGCCGCTGGCGGGCATTGCGCTGAGCGCGGCTGGCGATGGCCCAGCGCTGTGCCTGGCGCTGGACGCGCTGGGCGGGCTGGCCGAGATGCGGCTGGGCGGGGATGCCCCGTCTGCGGCGCGGCCGGGCCCCGGTGCTTTGCCGGTGGTTCCAGCCAGCGCCGAGTCGCTGCGCACGCACTGCCGTCGCCGCGAGGAGGCGTGGGAGCGGCTGCGCACGTCTGGCGCGCCGTTCGAGCGGCTGGATCTGCGGCCGGCATACAACGAGCTGCACAGGGCCGCGGCCAGCGCCCCTGCTTCCGCCTCCGCTCCGTTTGCTGAGGGCGCTGCGCCGGAGGACCAGTGCGGCAAGCTGGCCGAGAGCCTGGCCGCGATCTTTGCCGAGCAGACCACCGGCAACGCACCCGACCACACGCGGCTGCTGGACCGCATGTGGGCCGACGAGGCCGTTGCGCCCGCCGCCGAGTCAGCGCAGCCGCGCCCCAAGCGAAAGGCGCGCGCTTCGGCCGCCGCAGTGAGGCACGTGCAGACACAGCCGCAGCCGCTGGCCTCGTTCTCCCAGCCGCAGCCGCTGGTCTCGTTTTCCCAGCCGCCATCGGGATCGTCCCGTCCCACGCGCGGTGCCCAGCGCACGCGCCAGCCCACACTGCCCGCGTCGGCCTCCCAGCCTCAGCCTCAGCCACATGCCAAAAAGAAAAAGCAGCGCAGATCGGGCTTTTAACAGCACTATTTCCAAGGCGCATTCTGCCACTGCCAAAAGCCTCCCCCCCCCCCAAAAAAAAAACCCCCACTCTTTATTAATTCTTTTTGTTTCTTTTTCCTGTTTTCTCCTTTCTTTTTATTCTTCAATTCATCCGAATCGCTTGCAATTTGTTCATTTATTCATTCACCAAATCCAGCTCCTCTGCTCACAGCCTCCACCCCCCCGTCCAAACACCCACCCTCGTTATTAATCACCCATGGCTTCGCGCTCCTGGGCCCACGCCCGCCCGCGCCAGAAGACCACCTCCATCTTCAGATCGGAGGTAATGTCGCTCATCCAGCTGTACATCCCATCCGATGTCGCGCGCTACACGGTCTCGCAGCTTGGCGAGCTTGGCCTGGTGCAGTTCCGCGACCTCAACGCCGAGGTCACGGCCTTCCAGCGCTCATTCGTCAACGATGTGCGCCGCTTCGACGAGATCGAGCGCAAGCTGCGCTACCTGCGCGCCCAGATCGACTTGTCGGGCGTCGAGGTCTACGATTTTTTCGACGACCGCTTTGTCAGCACGGCGCGCGGCCCCCGCGACATTGACGACATGGAGGAGCGCATTGCCGCCCACGAGGGCCGCGTCCAGCGCCTCGCCGCCGCGTACAAGGAGATGCACGCCAACCACATCGAGCTCGTCGAGAACATGCACGTGCTGCAGGAGGTCTCGTCGCTGTTTACCGAGATCACCGGCCGCCAGTCGCAGGCCCACCCGCGCTCAGGCTCGATCGCTGCTGCATCGCCCGACGCCGTGCCATTGCTGGCCCGCTCCGACACCGCCGCCTCGCGCCGCAGCATCGGCTCCATGGACGCTGCCGGCGCCTTTGACGTCGAGCTGGGCGCGTCTGCCGCCGCAGCCGCCGCTGCCGCCGGCCGCGACATTAACATCGGCTTTATCTCGGGTGTCATTGCGCGCGACCGCATCGCCACGCTGGAGCGCGTGCTGTGGCGCTCGCTGCGCGGAAACATGTTCCTCAACTACATCGACATTGAGGCCCCCATCCAGGATAACACCGCCGAGGACGGCGCCGCACCCGTCTACAAGAGCGCATTCATCGTCTTTGCCCACGGCGACTCGCTGCGCGACCGCGCAACCAAGATCGCCGAGAGCCTCGGCGCCACGCTGTACCGCGTCGACCCGCGCGCCGAGCGCCGCCAGGAGGACCTCATCGACACCATGTCGCGCCTCGACGACCTGCGCCTGATCCTCGACAACAATGCCGTTGCGCGCGCCAACGAGCTGGCTGCCGTCGCCGAGCACATCACCACGTGGCTCGCCATCGTGCGCAAGGAGAAGGCCACGTACCACGCCCTCAACCTGTTCAACCACGATGCAAACCGCAACTGCCTGATCGCCGAGGGCTGGTGCGCGGCCAACGACATTCCGGCCATCCAGTCAGCCCTGCACCTGGCCACTGAGGACGCCGGGTCCACCGTGCCCACCGTGCTGCACGAGCTGCGCACCACCAAGCAGCCGCCGACCTTTGTGCGCACCAACCGCTTCACCGAGGGCTTCCAGAACATTGTCGACGCGTACGGCGTGCCCAAGGCTGGCGAGGTCAACCCCGGCCTGTTCACCATCATCACCTTCCCGTTCCTCTTTGCGCTGATGTTTGGCGACCTGGGCCACGGCTTTCTGATGACCCTGTGCGCCGCACTGCTTTGCATCTACGAGAAGAAGCTTGCCTGGATGGCCAAGGACGAGTCCATGCGCATGTTCTACTCGGGCCGTTACATCGTCCTGTTGATGGGCATCTTCTCGATGTTCACCGGCTTCATCTACAACGACATCTTCTCGCGCGCCATGTCCGTCTTTGCGTCCGGCTGGGCCTGGCCCACTACCCATGGCGGCGAGGGTGTCATCGTCGAGGCCACCAAGCTTGCTCATACCTATGCCGTTGGCATTGACCCCGCCTGGCACCACGCCAGCAACTCGCTGCTCTTCACAAACTCGTACAAGATGAAGATGTCCATCGTGCTCGGCGTCATCCACATGACCCTGGGAATCTGCCTGCAAGTACCCAACGCGCTGCACTTCAAGAAGCGCATCAACATCATCCACGTCTTTGTGCCTCAGATCATCTTCCTGTTCTCCATCTTTGGCTACCTGGTCTTCACAATTATCTTCAAGTGGTCGACCGACTGGTACGCGCGCGATGCCGCCGGCCAGCTCACGCACATCAGCCCGCCAAGTCTGCTCAACATGCTCATCTACATGTTCCTCAGCCCCGGCTCCGTCAACGAGTCCGAGCGCATGTTCCGCGGCCAGGCCTTCCTGCAGACCTTCCTGCTGCTGACTGCCCTCGTGTGCGTGCCCTGGATGCTGCTCGTCAAGCCCCTTATCATGCGCCGCGAGCACCGCAAGATTACCTCTGAGGGCTACGGCCGCATCTCGAGCCACGTCCGCGTCAGCACCGAGGCCGATGGCATGGCCGGCGCCATCATCGTAGCCGAGCAGGAGGAGATGCAGGCCGACGACTTTGACTTTGCCGACATCATGATCAACCAGTCCATCCACACCATCGAGTTCTGCCTCAACTCTATCTCCAACACTGCGTCGTACTTGCGCCTCTGGGCACTCAGCCTGGCCCACGCCCAGCTGTCCGAGGTCCTGTGGTCCATGATCTTCTTGCCCACCCTCAAGATCACTGGCTCGTACAAGCCCTTCGCCATCATGTTTGGCTTTGCCGTCTGGTTCGTGCTCACCTTTGGAATCCTCATTGGCATGGAGGGCCTCTCGGCTTTCCTCCACGCCCTGCGTCTCCACTGGGTCGAGTTCAACAACAAGTTCTACGACGGCACCGGCGTCAAGTTCGAGCCATTCTCGTTCAAGGCCGTTCTCGACGAAGCCGATGACCAGTAGTAAAATGTATTTGTTTATTTTCAATTTATAATAAAAAATATTTTTGTTTGTTTGTTTGTTTACTTTAAGTCAGCCAGACTTTTCAACCGTTAGTTGCCGCTGTCGCTCACATTGACACCAACACTGGTGCTGCCATCGGCAAAATCATCAATATTTTCACCGCTCTGCTCGCCCTGGTCGTTCATCAGCGCCGCATACTCTTGGTCTGCAAACTCTACCCATGGGCTCGGCAGACACGCCAAAAACTCCATGCGCGCCTGAATCACCTCCTTGAACGGAACCGTCGGCAACGCCCGCTGCGACAACTGCGCCAATTGCCGCTGCAAAAACGACGTCCGCGCCTCATGCTCCAAGAACCGCTGCAAATTCATAAACGCATCAAAGAATATTGGCATTAGTTTCGGCGGCGCCCGACGCAAGTCCTTCAGTGTGAACATTCCTTCCTTTTCCGGGCGCACCATATCGGAAAGCTGGCACATCAGATCATCCAGCATAATCATGTCCCCCGACATCTCCTCCTCCATTCGGCTAACCTGCTCGTCGTAGAAATACTCCAGCTCATATACTGACAGCACCCCGTCGCCGTCCAAGTCCAGACACCGGAACCAGTATTCAATCGCCGGCGGGGTCGACTTGTCGATCTCAGAAAGTAAAAACCAAATAAAGTCGCGGTACGTCATGCGACACGCAGACAGCCGTACGTTCAGATCATACCGCGAATACATAATCTTGCCATCCTTACGCTTGTGCGCCTTGGCCTTGGCCCGCGCTGCCGCCACCTCGCTGCCATTCTTTGCCGGGTGCTCAGACTTTTTGCCCTTACCCATCATGATACGCGAAATGATACGCCGCGACAGCGTGTTGGTGAAATACCGCAGCAGATCGCGCGCATCAAGCAGCCGGTCTCGATCCGCATCCAGTTCAAAAAAGCTGCAGAACAGCACATAGAAATGCTTGTACGAAAACACACCCGGGTCGCGATTATCTATATCAATACCTTCCTCGATCGTCCTCATTAGGCCCACAATGTTCGCCCGCCGGAACTGCGCCAGTGTCATCTTGCCGTCCCATGTCCGGTTGCCCTCGTAGAATATGCGCTCGGTGACTGTCTCCGCATAACTCTGTGCAAACATGTCCTGGCCCTCCAGGAACTCCAGCTCAAAGTGATTATCCACGACGTCCGTCACCAGCAGCTTGATTTCATCACGCGTCACGTATGCACGGGGCTTGGTCGCGTCATCTGTCAATATGTTGAACAAGAGCGCACTGTCATCTGCGCTCGAGCGTCGGAGCCGTGTCCACACGTCGCAAAAGTGCTCGTATGACGGCCACGACCCGCTGTCCGAACGGTGCACGCGCTTGCCAATAACCTCACTCCCGGACAACGGCGATGCTGCAGAATCATTGCTGCTTCGTGTTGCATATCGGAACAGCGCCCGGTTGACAAAGCGCGGCATCCCACAGTCTACCGTGACTGCAGAAAAGGCTGTCTCAAAGCCCCCAAAGTTGCGGTCAAAGTGATGGCGTACCAACTTTAGCTCTTTCGCTATGGTCTTTTCAGTGCCCCTGTCGGAGCGCGGGAGAAGCGGCGAGACGAAAATCTGCGGCACAAGCACCGCTTTGACCACCCGCTCGTGCTGCTTCTGTTCAGGCTTGGCGTCAATCAAAATTCCCTTCCCTGGATTGTTGGGCCGACGCAGCTGAAATGGCTGTGCACGCTTTTCAGTTTCAGCGATCTTGTCGCCAACTTGACCAATGTCCTGGCCAATGTCCTCACCAGCATGCATATCCAAGGCGTTCGGATCCAGTAGAGACGACAATGGGGGCGGCAAGCTGGGTGCGATCTTGTCCGCAGCGAGTGATGGAGGAATCTCGTCGTCGGTCATATCCTCCTCGCTCGAGCTGCAAGAGTTTTTGCGTGCCGTGGGCGACAAAAGATCCAACCGGAACAGCAGAGACCTGCTCATCTGTGACACCGTCGGGCTCTCGCCGTCATCGTCCCCAATGCTGCTGCTATCGCCCATATTATCGCACAGGACTAATTTTGGCGGGGCCTTTGCCAGCCTGCCCAGCATCGTCGGTGACTCCGGATCACCATTGCCCGCCACTGCCCTGGCCCTCGGGGTCGGCGACATTGGCGATGTGGGCGAGTAGCGGATGCGCAGTCCTGAGGAATTGGGCGAAAACAAAGATGGTGTGTCCTGCGCCAGATCCGCGCGCAATGACCGCTTGCGACTGCTCAGAATTGGACTCAGAGGAGGAAGGCTCTCGGGGTTGTTGTTTTGCAAGATGCGCGCTCTCTTGCTTAGCGGGCTGCTCATCGCACCCACGCCTCGCAAGACATCCGGGCGGCCGGACGGGTCCGCCTCGCTTTCACTGAAGAGCGTCGAGGAGAATGAATCGTCATCAGGCGCATCATCATCATCACCATTACCATCTACTACTGCTGCGGGCGTAAACGATCTCCCGCCATTTGCGAGGGGGGAGTCCTGCAGCCTGAGGCGCGATGCTATTGTGGTGTTTGGAGGGGGCGATTTTAAATGGGGAGACCACCGCGGGTTCAAGCACAGCTCGTCAGCCTGCAAGATAGGGGAGGCCGCCAGTGGAGGGTTTGCGCCAGATAACTGGATATTTCTCTGTGGCGTGGTCATCGATGGGGCCATAACAGTGGAAGCAGCCGAAGCAATGACGGCGGGGCAGCACCAGCAGTCGAGCTCGTTGTTTGGATGCTCGCTTGCTGCTTTTTAAACAGTGAAAATACCATATGCCGGGTGTTTTTTTGTTTTTGTTTATAAAAAGTAAAGCTGCTGCTACAGAAAAATAGAAACTAGTGGGCGGCTCGCAATAAAATAAACAAATAGAGGTTGTGACCGTTGCAGCGGTTTAAGAACAACAAATATCGGCCAATGGTTTTTATTGTGTTTATCTCGAATTCCAAACTCTGAGACGCAAATGCGCGTGGTGAAGAAGCCTGCAGCTAACAAATAAAAAGGTGAGGAATGCAGCGATGCAAATGCGAGAGAGCAAGAAATGTGTTTTAATGCCAGAGAGACAACGCTTTAGGGGCAATAAAACGACGGAGAGAAAAGAGTGTTTGTAACAAAAAAATTGGATGTGGAAGCAAAAGAAGAAAAAGAAACAGGAAAAAAAGAAACAAGAAAAACAGAAAACAGAGGAACCGCCACAGATGTTTGGAAGCGCAGCCAAAAATAAATAAAATTTCGGTTTTTTTGTTCCGCTGAACAGAAAAAAACCTATCGGGTGCTTGTGTGAGCCGCGATTGTCCTTGGACTGAATCGACCGAAAAACGCAACTCCCTACGGTCTTTTAAATCATGCTCGCCCCTCCCTTCTCGCCTTTTGACCTTTGGCGCCACTATTCTCAGAAATCACGTTCGCGTCCATGTTCACGTTTATATTATTATCAGTTACAATCCAGCAAAAAACTGGACCATATATTTTATAGGCAGCAAGTTACTAGATCCATATGCCGCGCTTGGTTTTCCAAAGTTAATACGACAAACCCGATCAAACAAGACAATTGCAAAATGAGCCCCTCTTTTGATATGCCCACGAGCCTTACTACGCCAGAAATATGGTTTTTTTTAATAAAAGCAAATACACCGTAACAAATCCCCAACCTTCGGGGTAACCTTGGAGATTGTGCTTACACACCTACCTATACATTTCATTAAAAAGATGTGTGTTAACACCTTTCACCAGAGGCAGGAAACTGAGTGCAATCATTTGGAAAGAGACTTGGCAGCAGCGCCAGCACCAGCACCCGGGTGCAAAGCCAAGGAGGCGCCGTCTGCTGCGGCTACTCATCCCCGCAGGCAGCGCACGGATTAATTTACCCACATATTATAGCGTTTATTGCCGTCAGTTGCTTATCACAGGACAGAGCCTCATCAAAGGAGCAAGTGGATCAATGGATCTGTTTTCTTTGGGCGAAGTGTGAACGGTTTTTTGTCCAGCGCATCAAATTCTAGTTGCTTTGCTTATCTTGCATACTTTTTTGTATTCGCACTTTTGTTACTGTCTACGTTTTGATAATTTTCCATTACATTGTTGACCAAGCTGATGTTGTTAGCGACAGTGTCGGGCGGGATATTGATATTAGTAGTGTTTTAAATGTCAACTAAAGACAACAAGAGGAGAGGAGGGAGGGCAGAAACACGTTGCTCTCAGGTACTGAATATTTCGATCATCGTAAGGACGAATGTCTGCTCGCCCGAGGAGTTGGCAAACACATCCTTGAGATCGCTGACGGGATTGCGCAGCAGGGTCGGGCCAAACACCAGAGCCAAGTTGCTCCCGTCCATCTTGGTGCTGGCTTGGACATCGGGATGCAGCAGGTTAGAGAGGAAGCCAAGCAGATACTTGACCACTCTCAGAGACGTGTCTGGAATCCGATCCAGCACACTCTGCACCGTATCGCGATCGGCAGGCTTGGCCATGCACTCGTCATACATGGACTCAGGGATAAGCGGGTCGGCGAGATCCCGCAGCCATTCTTTGAGCAGTGACGCGGGCACGTTGGGATCGTGGATTCCTGAAAAGTCGGGCTGGCCGGCCTCAATCTGCAGACGGGTTAGAGCCACAGTATCGCCGTTTCCTGGGACGCGGAACAGACCCTCAGTGCGATCGCCGCCGAGGCTGGTGATCAGGCCGGTAAGTTGCTCCAGCACGCACGGGAGACCCGTGGCCTCATTGACCAGCTCGGGGTTGGCCATAATCTCGCCCAGGGAGCCGCCAAAAACAAGTGGCCGGGATGGCACGGTCAGCGCCAGGTGCAGCTCTTCGACAGAAAGCTCCGAGGTGCGGCTGCCTGTGCGCTTGACACGGCCAAGCTGCAGGTTCAAGAAGCGCTTGAGCGTCACAGTCGATATGGGCGCCGAGTCCACAAAGGCCTCGAGGTGCGGGAAAAACAGCTGCGTCGGGCGGAACGCGTACAGCAGCACACCCACCAATGACCATCCGTTCTCAGCGGCGGACGAGCTTGGGTTGCCGGTAACCTGCTTGGCCAGCTGGCAGAAGATCTCGTCGCGCATTGCCTGGTTGCGAACGCCCACGTTGGCCAGCCACAGCACGTTGTTGAACTTGTCCTTTGACGAAACCTCTTCATCAAAGTTGCCCATGTACCGTTGGATGATCTGAAAGCTGCGCACCGCATCGCGGGTCATTTCGCGCGGCAGGTTCATCAGCGGGCGCGTGATGGTCTCTGAGGTGTACGAGATCATCTCCTCGAGTGGCACCTTGCGGCGCAAAAAGCCGCGCTTTTGCGATGCAAACTGCGTACTGGCAAACGCGCGCATGCCGTACATCATGCCGTCGCCGCGGATAGAGGGCATGCTGCGGTTGCGGTGCGAGTGCATCATGACAGAGCTCGCGGCGCCACTCGGGTAGCATTCCATGGCACTCATCCGCTCGAGACCAGGCATTTTGTGGAACGGCTGCTCGCTGTAGTTGCGCGGCCGTCCGCTGCCGTTGTCCTTGCGCAGGGGGCTATCCGAGGTGCGGAAAAACTCGACGTTGGCTGATGCGGGCACGTTGTAGTCAACGTGGTGGCCACCCATAAACATACTACCAACAGGGCCTGCCTCGTCAAAGTTGTCGTGCCCCTCCTCGTCGTCCTCCGCGGACTTGTGTGTGACTGCGTTATCCTCGTCGTGCTCATTGTGCTCTTTGTGGTAGTTGGCTGTGTTGGATGCCAGGGCTTCCTTCAAAGTCTCCAGGGCGGTCTCGGACTGGCTGTTGCGCTGCGCAGAAAGCCGGTGGCGGTTCTCGGCCCTGTGTTCGCCAGATTGCAGCGCCCGAGTGCCAGCCTCGAGCTTGTTCTTGGTTTCAATGATGGACATTGTCTTTTTGCGATATTCAGACTCGCCTCTGGGCACATACGAGCCGGTTGGTGAGCTAGAATGGATCCGCGGACTCACTGCCGACGACGGACACTGTTCGTCGACCTCGGCGACGGTGCTGACGGGCTCGGGAGGGGTGCTAATGGCAGGGCTGCTGGCATTTGTGATGATGCCGCTGGCGGTACTGATCTTTCTGCGATGGTGCGAGCCTGAAGCGGCGTACGAGTTCTTGCGCGAGGGGCGATCGTCGGCGCTGCGCAGCGAGACGCGGGATGCCTTGCGTGTTAAGCCCTCGACCTGCTCGCTGGTAAATGCCGTGGAGCCACGGTTGTTAACGACAGTTGACAGGCGTCTGCCGACCGATGATGTGAGCAGAGCGTGGAACGGGACCACTGTGGCGTTGTCTGGCGGGTCCCATTCAGTGGCTCCAGTAGTGGAGTTGTAGTAGTACGGAACGCCGGTCTCTTCATCGACTAGCTCCCACCACTCGCCATTCGGATCGCGAGCGGCTCTACATTGCAATATCAATACAATGTGTTGTTTTGAGTACATGTGCCAACAACAAAAGGGAGATGAGGGGGGCACGCGCAAGAAAGAGTGGACCAAACAAGGGCCCAAATGCAAAGAGGGGTCATTGGCATTGCCGTTGTCATTGCGAGAGCTGTATTTGGATATGGACACAGACACAGACATTGGTGGCATCGACGGATAGAGCAGAAATGGCAACAACAACAACAATGGGTATGAGACGTTTTTTTGGATATGCGAGGGTCAAAGAAAGTAAATATTGGTCGCATTCCAGGAGCAACCACAACCACAACTACAACCACAGCTGCAGGTGCAGATTCAAATATGCAAAGACAATGCACACATATATAGGCATGGGTGCGTTATCGTGCCTCTAAAACTCTCCAAGCATCAAATTAATGAAAGAAAAATATATATGCGATAAAAAAGCAAAAAGCATACCCGCATTTTAATAGAAATGGATTTGGGTGCACTTACATCGATGAATCTGGGCGGGTCCAGCTACACTGGCCAGTCACCTAAAGCAGTAACAATGGCAGAAAAAAGTAGTGGTAGTAAGCGTAGTCAAGATCAGTAATGGCCAGCAAATACTGGCGAATGCGCAGGCGGACGAGCAGAGCAGAGCGGCCATGTGTTATTCTGGTACATAAAGCGTACCCGCATGGCTCTCGCAAATACCAGTGCATATATTCTTAGGCATACAAACAAGTGATGCGAGCGAGCGAGCGAGCGAGCAAGGAATATAACTAAAATTCAGCAGCAACAAAAATGCATTCAGCCAAGGCAAGACAAAAAAGCAAAGGGAAAAAAGCAAAAAGCCACGTACAGTGTTTGCGTAGACGACCCGGCTGGTGTGAGGGTCAAAAAGCTCGAGCCACTCTGGGCCGGCGCCCTGAGGCGAGGCACCGGCAGTATCGGTGCGCTCCATTGTGGTCGTGGGTCTGTTTGGGCTCATCGCAGAGCAGCGACTGTCATTAAATTATACAAAAAGGAAGGGTGCAAACAAGGCCGAGGTTCGAGCAGCGATAATATTAAAGAGAGGGTGGGTAAAAAAATACGAATTAGAAAGGCGAAAGTACTAACAAAGGGGTGAAAGGGTGCAAGATGTAAATAAAAACAAGTGGAAACAAAATACAACAAAAAAGAGGTCGGCCGTTTTTATTACAAAAAGAAAATAAGGAAAAGAGCAACAATACGACGGTTCCGACAGAAAAAACGGCGTCCCAGAGCTTGGCTGCACTCGGCATAATGCTGGGGAGGAAACCCAAGGTCTGCGATTGCTGTCTTTGACATGCAAAAAGAAGAAAAGCGCTTGCTTGTCTGCCTTGTGTCACGCCTCCTGTTGTTTTATTTTTTGCTTTCGATCTCCCCCACTTTGCCGGCAGCATCGCCGTCGTCGGGGAGGAATAAGTGGACGGAGAGATCTGCACGCGTGCCGCTCAATTGTTATTATTTTGGCAATGTTATGTTACTGTGCATATCGCAAAACGTAAACACCAAAAATGTGGCACGCTCTCCGACTTTAAAGCTCAAAAAGGCAGCACCATATTGCGCCAATTTGGACGCAATGTCTATCGGCTATTTTTAATTATGTGCTGTGCTTGTCGATTGCCGTTCCCATTTAAAAAACCAATTGTCCAAGCACACCGTATTTAATAATTGAAATTAGTATAAAACAAAATAAAGAAAACTAGGGTCAGCGGCCACTGCGAAAATCCCTACAGCGTAAACTAAATTAGTGGGTCAACAGAGCAAAGCAAAGCAAAGCAAAGCAAAGCAAACAAAAACAAATAAAATGGGCTGTGGAGGAGAGTTCTCGAGGGCTTCCTTTTATCGGCCACTGTCAGCATGATTGGTCTTGAGATCGCCTCTTCCCATATGGGTTGGGTGCGCTTGTTCTCAAAGACATGCATCGTCATCATTCAGCGCCCGCGAAAAGGCATCCCCGAAAGCCTCTCCTCCCAGACGCACACGCCCACCAGGCCTCCCAAGACAAATCTGTGACACAGCAAAGACAATGCATCTCTCAGCTTGCAGCTTGCAGACAGAACCCTAGGTCGTAAAGACTTTGCTTTAATTCTCATAATTATCTTCGCCTTTACCGTCTAGTCCATGGGTACGAGAATACGAAGAAGCCAACAAGAAATCCGACAAGACCGTTTTGGACCATATAACCTTTGCGAAAATGCAACATCACTGACACTGGGCACAACCGCAAGCTTTAGCCTGCGGCTGGACCGCAAAAATGCACCTGCTGTGTTTGGTTTTGAACCCTCCGGAACCTTCAACTGGAGCTCCACATATGCAGCATACAGGAGGTCGCCCTCCGCCCAAATGCCTGCACCGGCGAATGGTGCTGGCGCGGGTGCCCGTCAGCTCGACATTGCACAACTATAGGGCCAAGCTCGCCTAGCAGCGATCGACCAAGTATATGCTCACAGCCCACTGCAAAGGCAGGGGGGCTGTGCCATCGTCTACGAAAAGCTGTCTGGATTGCTCGACCCAGGGAGCAAGCGAGAAAACAGGCAAGGGAGGGTAACAAAACACAGCAGGACAGCGACTGTAGACGTCGCACCAGCCAGGAGAGCGAATAGGGGTGGGACGGGGGGTGCTAGCCTATAGAACCAGTTCGCAATAACTGGCCCATCTGGCAGCTCTTTTGGGGTTGAGAGGTCATCCACGAGGGAATCTGAATGTGACCGAGGTGGCTCTGGCTACAAACTACAGGCTGCCATTGAACTCTACCTTGCACTCCTGAATGGCCTGGCGGACGCGACTGTGGCCAAGAAAAGGTTGCGATCGGGGCAGCCCACGGAAATAATAATAAACAAATAAGAAAAAAACACGAGAACAGAAGAAAAAAAGGTGCGCCACCGCCAAACGATCGCGGCCATATTTTATACCCCCTACACAAATCTGGATGCAGAGGCTGCGCTGTCTCAAAATGGGCCAACAAAAAAAAAAATTTATACTGCGGCTGTTCTGTTTCATCACCACCATATGCCGAATAATCTGTATAAGCAAATTGGGCAACATCAACACGGTTGCGTGATCTTAAATAAGCACACGATTGGCAACAACGTCAGCGGCTCCAGGCACCACGCCTCACATGCAAGCGAGCAAAAGTGGAAAAGGTAGGCGAAACGATCATGACCAAAAGTCCGACGTCAGAGCCAATGCCAGCAGCAGTCTTAACACCAAGCGTGTGCTGGTTGGAAACATTGGCACAAACTGGTCCAGCCTCATGCGCATGGATAAGCAGCAGCACCAGCAGCATCAGCACGAGTCGAGCCATCATGCCCTAGTCCTGACTCGGGCTTTTCCACAAATTGCGCTAAATGGGGGGGCAGCATTGTTTTATTTTTATTTTTGCTTTCACTCTATTTTTAAAAAATTTAACTTTAATTTTTCTTTTTCTTCTTCACTTTCTTTTATCCTCCAGCACATCTACACCTTGTTTTTTTGTATACCAATTAGTCAGCCAAGCACTCACATCCTTGCACATTCACATGTCAATGAGCACACTCATACAGCGCGTAGCCTCGTCGGCCAATCTCAACGAACATTCCCTCAACCCAAACTCGCATTGGGTCAATCTCAAAGGTACAAATACGCAGTGTCTTTTTGTGTTAGACAGTGCTTATTTCTATTGCGTGTGCTCGCACTCGCCAAAGGGGTCGCGCACTTATCAGTAGCCGCAAAATCCAGACAATGTCACCAACTCTGTTGCGGCATTTACTCTCGTGTGATACAGTCTGACAGCTACAGACTCCATTCCCACTCCATCATATCTCACTAATTCTTTTTTCTGTTCTACTAACCCCTTTTTGTGTATTTTTTATTTTGTGTGCGCTATAGGCTCATGGACGACAAATATCGTGCTAATCATCACGTTTCGGTTACTATTTGGGGTCATTCCGTGGTCGACACCGGAGCTCAGCTGGACGCTGACAAATCTGTCTTATTGCCTATTCCAGTACATCATGTTCCACGGAATTATAGGCACTCCGTTTGAAGTAAACCAGGGCGCCTACGACAATCTCACGCTGTGGGAGCAGATGGATAATGGCGAACAGTACACGCCGAACAAAAAAGTTCCTGACTGTAGTTCCGATCGCTCTGTAAGTACCTTCTTTTTTATATAAAGGGCGTTGCGGCCCCAAACCGACTTGCCGTTTGTGCCTGCAGGGGGATACACCTTGAATTCTTTATCTTGCTAATTCTGAATGGTGTTTTGTTTCTTACAATCTCCAACGCACTTGTAGATTTCTGCTGAGCACGCACTACTCCAACTACGACGTGGCAACGTTCATCATCAACTTTACGGCCGTTTTGATTCTCATGATTGCAAAGCTCCCGGCATTCCACCGGGTCCGGTTCTTTGGAATCAACATGGGCCAGAACGACTACCACTGAACTCCACGCCAAGTTCCAGCAGGCGGTCGCCATGTGCTGTGTCTGCGCGCGCGCTCCATGCTCACGCTGGGGGCGGCACGAATGGATGCACGGTCATCCACAGCACGCAAACACAGCACGCGGCAGCAGCGCTCTATACTTCCTATCTACCCCTTTCATCCGGCTGCCATCGTCATGGCCGCATTTTCAACTTCAACTTCACTCTTAGTGCTCGCCGCCCGTGTGGGCCTGCCCTATTGTCCTTGTTTTTAATTTTCCTCTTATAAATCATCCCTGTTTCTGTCTCTCCTTTTGTGCCTGTCGGCCACCATTTGCGAAACAAAAAAGTTGCGAATAATTAAAAAAAGGGAACAGATAAATTTAGTCAAGGCGTGTTAAAAAAATAGAGTTGAGCCGAAAGAGTGAGGATCGGCAGCAAAAGTAAAGACCCAAGCGCACGGGCCAGGTCAAATATCAGACAGGGGGACAAAGACAGGCGCGAACGAGGACATCTGCAGAGCAGACTAGGCCTTACTCTGAGCTCGTGGCAATCTTCTCGTCGACGTCCAGCTCTGCCATCAGCTTGGCAATCTTCTCCTCAGCCTTTCTCTTGTTCTCGCCAGTGACCTTGGCCTGGTTTCCGACAAAGTGCTGCTTTCTGGCCGTCAGGCCCTCAATGGCAGCGGGGATGCTCGCGCCGTTTGTCGGGATCTCGACCTTGAGATCCAAGAAGCGCTCGGCAACAGCCAGGGGCAGCTTCAGCACATCGGAAGGGGTTCCGGCCTTCTTGTCCTTGCGGTTGTTTCTCCTCTTCGACTTTGAGGAGATGACGCTGCCATAATAGGCCTCGTCGTTGTCGGCTCTCTTGACCGCTACCATACCCGCTGGCACGTGTTCGCTGCCGCTGGTCTCCCGGGCACCACTGGCAACTGACGACGGGCGAGTGCTGTCTTCGCACCGGCTGTTGGCGTTGCTTCCGGCTGCTGAGGGAATAATGCTGTTGAGGTACAGGATCAGGCTGTCGCAGCCGTTGATCTCGTCTTGGAAGGCTGGGATTTCTGCCTCCTCGCGCTGCTCCTGAGCAATAGCCAGGCGTTTCTCGCGCTGCTCCTGGATGTGCCGCTGCTTCTCCTCGAGAATCTTGCGCTTGCGCTCTTCGTTCTGCCACTGGTAGTATTCGTTATTTTGCCGGCGGTGCTCGTCCTGCAGCTTGCGCTTCAAGTCCCAGGCCTGGTCGAGGGCCTTGAGGATGCTTGAGCGTTCGGCAAACAGGTTGTTACGCTTCTGGTGGCCCTCCTCTTGCACCGCCTTGAGCGTGTCGAGCTCGCTCTGCAGCTTTTCGAACTCGTCGCCAAGCGCCTGGGCGTTCGTACCGGCGAGCTGGGTGTCGATCTCGGTCAGCTCGGCCACCTCAGAGGCAATAGTCTTTTGGAGGGTGGCTGCCTGTTCAACATGCTTCCTGGCTCTGCGCAGGCTCGAGACCTCGCTGGACATGCGCCTTTCGTCGACGAGCTTGAGCTTTCCGGAGTCAATGTCAACCTCATGCTTTGCAATGATCTCGTCAATATCCTCAACGGACTTGAACGATAGCTTTGCCTGCTGGGTCTTCAGTTCGGTGGTCTTCTTGGCAATCGATGCTGCGAGAGTATCACGTCTGTCAAAGACCTTGCCGCGCGACTTCCGAAGCGCATTCTGCTCTGTGCGAATATCCTGCAGACGGTTGATCAGCTGGGTGCGCTTATCGACATGAGGGCCTTTGCGGGTATCGGTTTTGTTGAGTCTGTCCTTGTTATCTTCCTATAATGATAAATGCCATGCAATGTGCCCCATGGTAATTATTTTAGCGTTGGAAGCAGTAATGTGTGGCTGGACCGGGCCAGCCCGAGCTGGGTGATGAGGGCAGCGAGTCCAAAGCTGGACGGTCTGCAAAAAAACACAAGGTCCAAAAATAATTAAGTTTTCTTGTCTAACATACCTGTTCTTTGCGTAGCTTGTCAATTCTGCTGTCAATATCCGTGAGCTCTTTCTTGTGTTGTTCGAAATCGGGTCTAGGAGGACGAGTAATTCTAGAGGGAACTGGCGAGCGCGCGTCGCCTGTAGTTGCAGGTGCCGTTTCCAAAGTCATTTTTATGTCCTTTTAAGTTTCAGGGGAAGAAGGGACCGAAGTAACTGAGTGTAGCTGACGAGCTTGAATCTGAGAAAGGAATGTAATACCACAATTATGACAGCGCAAAGCTCAGTCAATTCGCAATTTGCTAAAGATGATGCAAGCAATAACAGAATGAGAAATGTGCGCACACGATAAATTTAAGAAAGGAGAAAAGGAGAAAAGAAGAAAAGAGAAAACTCCCTGAATGGCTAACTTGCAAAAAGGCATTTCTGTAAGCGTGCGTTGCGAGTCTTCCTTTGCGCGTCTCCTTTTACCACCCACGTTCATGGAAAGTCAATACAATGAAAAACGAAACTCATTTTTTAGTGAGGTGAAATCATGCCAACGCTGACAGACTTGTTTCGGTCAATGATTGGCTGTGATTTTGCATGCGATTGCTAAATGAGTCGCAGCTCCTTTTTTTAACGAGCCGGTGCAAACTGCTAGTTTTGGTCAGGCTTGGGAGATAAGGCGGGCAGAAAGCACTGGTGCTGTAGACCTTTTCTCAATTGCTGAGCTGTAAGTGTGAGAAAAAGGGGTGTTTGGTCTGTTCAATTTCTCTCTTTTTTGCTTTCAATTGTCAATTGTCACTTTTTTATTTTCCATTTCACGATTTCTATACATTTCACTTCAGCAATAACAATGGTCGGCGGATTCACAAAGTCTATCAGCTCGTTCACTTACCGGACCTTCTTCAAGAAGGAGTCCACCTACTTTGTCACCGTTGTGGCCACCGGCGTCGGATTCTCCATTGTGTTCAACACCATGTTCGAAAACTACTGGAACAAGAAGACCGCCGGCACCAAGTGGGAGGACATCAAGAACAAGTACATTCAGAATTAATTTGGTCAGAATTTTTCTTGTTTGTCTAGGAGATTCGCCCTCGCCTTGGCTTAAATTGAATGCACGATTTTGCTCAATTGCAAGCGGCAGTTTTGCTCTGGTCGCAGCGGTGGGCACGCGCAGCACATTGATTGTGGCTATTTAATGTGGGCCGAGTTTCCTAGCCTTTTCTAGTTTTTCTCGTTTTTACATATACTCTAAAATACAACGTAGCTTGTGTACCATTGAATGTCAAATACAAGTGCGAGTATAGTTGAGGCGCACGTGATATTGACCGTAAGCACGATTATACTGCGCTCGAGCTGAATATGTCGACTGCATGCGTGTTGCAAAACTGCTGCTACTGCTGCTGTTGCGCAAAAGCGTCTCTGCACTCCATTGTCTTGCATCTATTTTTTCGTACAGTCCAATGATTCACTCTATCTTTATCATCAACCGCTCTGGCGGACTTATTTACAACAAGAACTACAGCAACAATATTGCGCAGCTATCGTCCAACGAGGCTCTGATTTTTGCGGGCACATTCCACGGCATCCACGCGCTGGCGTCGCGCATATCCCCGGCCACAAAGGCAAGAAACAATACGATTAGGGACAGCGGGATTGAGACCATTGACACAAGGAACTTTCGCATACATTGCTTCCAGACGCCCACGGGCATCAAATTCATCGCAGTGAGCGATGTTTTAGAGACGAGGCTCTCAGACGTCCTAAGCAAGGTGTATGTTTTGTACAGCGATTACGCGCTCAAGAACCCGTTCTACAACCTGGAGATGCCCATTCGGTCAGAGATGTTTGATGTGCGGCTGTTGCAGCTGGTGCACGCGCACTAGTTTTTTTTTGCTTTAAGATAGCAATGCCTTAACGAAATACATCTATAGTAACAAAAATACGAGTACAAAAAGTATGCAAGATAAGCAAAGCAACTAGAATTTGATGCGCTGGACAAAAAACCGTTCACACTTCGCCCAAAGAAAACAGATCCATTGATACACTTGCTCCTTTGATGAGGCTCTGTCCTGTGATAAGCAACTGACGGCAAT